TTTTTGCAAACCCCCTGTTAACCCTATAAATTTAAACTGTTACCCACGACGTCTTTCGCGTCCCGTCGTTCATGCAAGTTAAACTTCAAAGATAGACGTATAGTGTCGCGGATTTTTTTTTGATCGTTTAAAGAGGAGAGTTTTTAACATTTTTTGGATATCTTAAACCGATTTCTTAGCGTAAGCAATGGAAACTCACAAGGATGAGTAATTTTACCCGTTTTTTCGACATTCCTGCTGTTTCTTCTCTCCTATTAGTCACAGCGCTATGTTTTATAGCCTAGAAGCTTCCTCAATAAATGCTTTAACTAACACAAAATAAATTATTAATTCGAACCCGTAGTTCCTGATATAAGTGCGTTCAAACAAACAAATTCTTCAGCTTTATATAGGTATATTAGTATAGATACATTGCTACGTATACGACGTAAATCGTAACAAAGAACTCTTACGCACCCCGTTCTAAAGCATGACTGCGGATAATGACCTCATCGCATAAAGAAGTAGAAATATCGCGAAAGCAATTCGTCATGTCATTATGCACGGAAAGGGCGAACTTTACGACTATAATAACGTGAGATGTCTGACTCGGCGGGCGTTATGAATGAAATGTTCTTTATTGTTGCCGCGTTTTATGTGAACGATTAACCTTTTAATGCAAACTGGCCTATCCACTATCTATCTAACGATGCTATTATGAATCCGATGAGATTGGTTGCTAGAACGCGGTGAACTCGTAGAGCTACCGTGTCGTGGTGTTGGTTAGCAGCACATCATCCTCCATGGCTGTACAGCCCCTTGTTGGCCCTAGCCTCCTCTAGTCGCTTCCGCCAGTTGTGAGCGCCCAAGATTTCCAGGTCCTTAGCAACTCCATTCAGCCAGCGGAGCCTCGGTCCCCAGTTCAGTAAGGACCTTGGTGCTCTTTCGTCCGCCATTCCGTGTACATGTCCTATTCATGTCTGTTGCTTTTAATGAATTGGACGGGCTCGTTGGTCTAATGTGTGGCTAATGATCAACGAGTCGTGGGTGGGATCCCCACCAGGCTCAACATGTTTCTAATATTTCAATTTATAATTTTTCTGAAACATGCTGTACTTCGTCTGGGTTGGAGGAATTAAATGGGTGGGAGGAATATATAAATTGTGTCTGGATCACGAACCACTCTTCAGATAAAAAAACCCGTGAAGCTTAATCGCGTTTCGGTTTCAGTCTGTGGATTTCCAAACATCCAAAGCCAATGTACTGGGGTATATCACTCCCACCTGAATTAACCCCATGTCATTTCTGCCCCCCTCTATCGTAAAAAAGAATTGGACGATATTAGCCTCGCCAAGAATATTCTATGGGTCTTCGTTAGAGCAGCACGGAACTTTTTATACAGGCACAGATAGTAAACTATTTTTTTTAGTGACTCAAAAGATGCACAGCTTAGTATAAACGCCGATGTTTTGTGTTTCGCAGGGCGGCCTGTTGTTTCATCACAAATTGTGTTCAGCCAAGAGGTAAGGACATAATTTGTTTTTAATGAACTCGGTCTGATCACGCTGTTCTTGTCAAATCATGCGGCTAATGAAAAGTTACCTCGCGCTTTTTCAGGGCAATCCATGCTAAACGGTGTTTTGAATTACTTTTAAATTTCTTTTTCTAGCAACTTTCGATTCATTTCATTGCTAATAAATAAAACACTTTTAACGGTTTAAAGCGCGAAATGTATTAGTTAAACTTATTTACAAATTATTTGAGTACGACCCGATGTTACGGATGCCTTTAAATAACAGTTTGTTAACAAAAAATGAAGCATGCTACAATGGAGAACCATGGACAGTCATATCCGAATTTTCAAAGCCAAAATAGATCGACATCTACTGTAGATGTTATATGGCTGTGGTATTTCACCTCCCATCAAGTATACCCCTAGCTTGCCAGTCCTCTTTTTTACAAAAAAAAAACTAAAATGTGGGGAACAAAGCAAATCCTTAAGATTGACCTGTATTGCTTAAAAAAAAATCTTAGATATTGTCCTGCTTATAATCCTATCGTTTCACATATAATAATCATTTTTATTAAACATGTCATAGTCAAATGTACGTATAATACACAATAGTTTCATCTAGAATGTTGATCAAGGTGTCAAAGAGCACAAATGAAGCACAGATGAAGGTTTTGCGAATGTGCTCGAACTCTCATATGAGTTCTTATTGTTATGACACAATATCAGCAATCTGTATGTCGTCTTCTGCAACCGCGAATCGAATATTTCTCTATAAAATTATAAGTTTTAGAAATCAATAAAGACTCCAATATAAGGTATTTTATAGCATAATTGTCTGTTACGGTAAATGTAATAAATTGGGAATATTCTCAAACATCACTCTAAAAATTGACCGCCCTAAACTTTTATATATTTTTTTTCTTTCTTTAACTCCTCCTTTTCGGATTGTAATGAATAATAACTTATTACGCAGTTAACCTCAACCTCAACTTCTACCCTGGTTAATGAAAGCGAAATATAATTATAATGTTCTACTTTAAAAGACATTGTCTTATTCGTGAGATATATTATAGGTTGTATATTATGAATAACTAGTTGTGGCCGTAATTTCGTCCGCGTTTAATAGTTATTTTGGCCATCAAAATTTGTTCTTGCAAATTCCCTCATCATCTATAAATTTCAACTAACAGTTGAAATTTAACGTCAACGTCATTCACGTCCCGTTCTCGCAAGTTAATCTTAATAGATAGACATAGTTAGGTTTAGGTTTATAGAAGACTTTATTTCTCAGAAGCTTTTCTTTTGCATTTACATAACGAAAAACTTAAAAAACTACGAATACATATACGCGGGTGGCTTAAATAATAATAATTTAAATACGGTTTTTTTCGACTATATATTTTTTTAACATCATCTTAAAGACTTCGTAACTATCAACTTAACTATTAACTATCTAGATCGGTCATTTTTAGATCCTTTGAAAAGGAATCATTATTTCGTAGCGCACGCAACGCAAACCGAAAAGATGAATAACTTTGGCTTTTTTTTTCCACATTTCCCACTGTGACTTCGCTCCTATCAGTAGCAGCGAGCGTAGCGGTTTTATAGCCTTCCTCGATAAATTGTCAAACCAACACTAAATTAATTTTCAATTCGAACAACTAGTTCCTGATATTAGCGCGTTCAAACCAACAATCAAACTCTTCAGCATTATAATATTAGTATGACCAGATTGTAATTTTAACTGTAACATACGCTGGTAGGTATAGCGACACCACTTTATACGGACACATGTGTCATCTGAAATGCCGCATCTCGCACCAAGGGAAAATTTCATTAACGTTGCACATGTTCAATTACCCAATAGTGGATATCGAATGTGCAGGTATTGAGTGCAGCTTACTGATATCACGCGAGCTCTATTCACTGATAAATGGACCGAGATAATATACTTTCGAGTTTTAAAGTCGATCATGATCAATTATCATTGTTCTAATATTGACACGTTACGCATGAAAAACGTCGTGTTAGTCGGTGACTATACTTGGGTTAAGAATTTGAATCATCATTGAAATTCACCTGATAGGGGTGAATATAATTCGGGTATACAAGATTTTTCTTTCATAACAATAGTTGCACTGACTATCGACAAGATATTGTACCATTACGTACTCTACCGATTATTATACCGAGATTTACGAATTTCCGAATCTTATTTTGAACTTTATTATAGACAACAAAATAGAAAGAAAAATATTACATTGAAACTTATTAAACCATATGCCAGTAAGTACCCTCGTCTGCAACGGGGCTTAGTTTATATTGTGGTATTAAAGAAACCATAGCGCTGTTATTCTTCCAGCCCCAATGTGGTGGTACCGATGTGCCCGGTTTCTAAACGGAACTTGAAGTATGACTAATAAAACAGTTATTATACAATGAAGATTTTAATAGTTTACTTTATACTGATATTAACATTATAAAGCTTATAAATTAATTTTTAATTGACTCCCATACTCTTTCAACGTATATAAAAAACTTTTCATTCGCTTTTGAAACTCACGAGATTATTTATCGGTATTATAAAACAATAGGTTTACAAATCTTAAAGGTTTATATTATCGTTAAAATATGTTTTCTATATCTGAACAAATGATTGTAAAATGAGATAATTGTACTTTTCCATGTCGGCATCATGAAAGATAAGTAATGACAACATACGATAGTTTTCATCTTGATAGCGTGACTAATGATTATCAATTTTTATATATTATTAGATGTGCTCGCGACTTCGTTCGCTTGGCATAGTTGGTTTTGGGCATTATATTAATTATTTTCGCAAAACTCCTCAAAAACTTTCTCAGCTTTAAATAAAACATGAAAATACTTTTGAGTTAAACGATATTATTTTTGTGCACTGAAAACTACTTTTTTTTTATTTTTTTATATATATCATCGTGTTTTACTAGTGTATCCCTTTCATTTGATACCCATATTGAGGGGGGTTAAGGGAAAAAATTTAATCCGCCATTTTGAATCGGCGGTCATCTTGATTAATAATGTTATTTATTTTATTATATTGCATTGTCATCTAAATTAAATGTGTGTACCAAATTTCAGATCAATATCACAATGGTAAGGTGCTTAAATTTAAATTTCTAATTTTTAACCTAAATAAATAAATTCCATAAGAGTCGTGCAAAATAAGCCCGTTTAAAAAAATATAGCAATTATATATTAATTTTAAAAGATATATTGTGGAGGACATTTTTTTAGATCATTTAAAGAAAAATCATTCTTTAATAGATATCTATTAATTTTATTGGTTTCATAATTTTTCCACATTTCGATCTGTTTCTTCGCCTTCTCGACTTTATGTTTTATAGCATAAAACTTGTCTTCCATCCAACCAACATAAAAATATTTTTTTTAATTCGAATTTGTAGTTCCTGAGACAAGAACGTGAGAAAAAGTGTATAATATTATTATACATTTTCATTTATTTCGTTTAGAAGCAAACTTCTGGAATATCATCTTTGCTCCAGTCGATTTCAACCGTCTTGTTGGTGCGTGCGCTCTCTTCCGCGGCAGTTGCAATTTTAGTAATAACCAGCGTTTTCCATCTGGTTATTCCTTGTGGAACGCCATCTTTTAACAGAATATAAGTTATTACGATGTAAGAACACTTGTCGTTTGAAGTCAGTAAAACAAAGTGTTCACGAAACGCCACGCCGTAGAGTACTCACATCTTTAAACATTTCTATTAAAGATACTTTAAATCGAAGTGAGACAAATGCTTAACGATGATTAATAGGTCGGAGTATTTACCAAAAAATGACAACACTTCTATCTGACAAGTAGTGTATATAAGAATAAAATTGTCTAGGAAAATGATACGTGATATCATGTCTAGTATTTGTAATTGTGGTGCATTTCGGCTCTTAACTAATCACGCGTTTTAAACAGTTTTTTACTAATATAAAAGTACTAGTAGCGTAGTAGTAGTTACCCACATTGTACCACGTCTAAGAAGTGTTAAACTTCGCGTTCATAGGCCACTTTATATCGAAAAGGGAAGGAGTAGTAGATAGGGTTAGTTTTGCATCCACCTTGCTCGATAACGTAATCGGTAGATACGGCTGGCTTTTCATTTTCCACTTTGATCATACCTATAACAATTGAGCCTTATCTTACTTATCTTACTTACTCTTAACGGTTTAAAACGCAAATTATATATCCCAATGACACGACCATTGACACGTTTAAGCATTAAGTCTATGAGCATATCAATGTTTTTCGGGCCGTTCGGCCGACGTGAGCAAGAAGAGGTTCTCGACGTTTCACGTGCGGACGGCATCATCAGGAGATGTTAACTCCTCGATTGCTCGAAGAATTACGAGCTTTACACACTTTATTAAGTCGTTGGTTTACGTTACGTAGAGTTATTAGCAAAAGTTTTATGATAAAGGAGACAAATCTGGTTCACTTAGAGGAAGTTGAAATACCCAAACCATATACCATCGTAACAAAATGCGCTGTCTACCTTGTTCGGCTTTAAATATTTTGAAATCCATAGACTGAAACCGAACTTTACGGTTTTTTCCTCTATATTTGAAACTTGGTGGTGTTTTTGTGAATCCGCAATACAAAGTAAAACAAGTATTTAGAGTTTTAGACACGGTAGCATCGGTTAGAGCAACAGCACGGAATGCTGCGGGTGCCGGTTCAAGACCTGCCCGTGTCATATTTTTTTTCTAATTATCGATTTTTAAGTTTTTAACTTATAATTAAATTAATATTATGAAAATTACTTAGAAAGTAATTATTATTACGCGTAAGCTACGGTAGCGTATCATTAATTAATGGTTTTAAGTAGTTTCATGGTTGTACATAAATTAATGATAGGTGCACAATGCGTTTACCACTGGTTAAAACCAAAATTATATGGTATACAAAGGTTCAAACCAAAATTAGTTAACCGTAGATATACACTTCACGGACGTCATATTAATTAAAGATTAAAAATCTTATAACTCGGCGACTGGCCGAAGTAGTAGACCTTAATAAAAGTTACTCACCCGATGTTTTCAGATAGTCAATTGAGGGCAAAGGGGAATCTCTTGCAGTTACTTTAACGACCTGCACGTGACCGACAGTTCCTTCCCCGACCTTCATCTTCAGGTTCCTGTAGGACGGATCAAAGCGACGGTTGAACGCCGCAAAGAGAATACCACCTTTGGCTTTTGCAGTATCGTAGCACTTTTTAGTTTCCGCAATACTCTATATGCGATAGGTTTCTCACAGAATACATCTTTGTGGTTTTCTATAGAGTTTACAACAATTTCGTGGTGGGTGAATGTTGGTCAAGCGATGCATACTGAAGTTACGCTGCAAGAATAAAAGTCACATCAAAAAAATTCTAGTGTTTCGAAGTGATATATAATAAAAACGATCGCAGTCTGTGCGTAGGTGATTTATGATAAAATACCTCATAGAAGACCTTTGTAAACGCAATAGTATACAAAACATCGATTTTTGGAATTCTTATTTGTCTGTGCACCAGTATCAAATTCAATTTTTAATTATGCTGGCCAGACATAAATAAAAGTATCAACTACTTTTTACTTCTTCAAAATTTTTAATAAAATAATTAATTTGGAACGCATTTTTGATTTATATTTTTATCATGAAAGTATTTACGACAAAACTCATGGCTAGACTAGCTACTATTCACTCCCTCTACTAGACACGTACTCAATTTTAACAAACAAAAGCCCACAAATTTAATATATCGTAATGCAATTTTACAAAGAAAATATTTTCGATTTATGAAAATAAACATGTCTACTTTCTAAATTAAATACTGTCTATGGTTTACGCGATTAGTACACATTAAAATAAAGCACTGTAACGGTTTAAAACGCGATCTATTAGTTAAACTTATTTAAGTATTAAGTATATAATATGGGATCCCAGGTTTTTGATAATTTGAGGCCGTCCTCCCTATTGAAATTTCAATCCCATATTAAAAACTCTGGATCCCAATAAACAGCATACCGGCAAACGCGAAGACACCGTTAGTCAATTCTGTAAGGACCCGGCCAGTTTCGCCAAATACCAACTTCGACGGAACAGATGGCGCTAGCGTAGCAATTTTTTACTTTGACGTCAGACACATGCGTCATCTTTAGTCTCCCCGTGACCACGGCTGCTGCAAAGCATCCAAAACGTCAGGCCGAAGTTAAAAATCATTTTCAAATATGTTTAACTAATATATCGCGTTTTAAACCGTTAAAGTGTTTTATTTAAATACTATCTAAGTTTCTTGCTCTTTGTCCTTAAAAACTCGGTCACTTTCCTTGGATTTTAGAAACATGACGTCACTACCGAGTTTCCAGAAAGCTCTGAGCTTTTCCAACCTCTCCTTGCGATCATCAACGATGTACTTCAAAAGAACTCTTGGGTTGCGGTTTATACTGCATAAGTGAATGGAACCAGCACGCCCGAGGCCAAATATTGCAGCTATCACAGGTGGTTTAACGCAAGGTTTGTCAGAAACTAGATTAACTTTGTTGGAGAAGCTGAAAACATTAAAAAATAATAACTGTTCTCAGTAAAAACAGAAAAACAAAACAATAAAATGTTTACTTAGAAAAGAACCAAAAATATAGTGAGCTTAGAAACGAAAACTAAGCTTATACAGTAATACTAATGTGACTGCACTAATTTTCAGTGTCTGAAATTATTGTCTTATGGATCATAAAAAAATAATACACAAATATTACTCTGTAAACAGCCAGTGTGAATCCGGGCATGTCTCTTTGGCAACTTTGTAAGGGGATTCACCGGAAAACTTTTTTCTAGCCATGTCGTGTCTGTAATATGCAAATTTATTAATAATTTCTCAGACACAACATATAGAATACGAAAATATTTAAATTTACTAACGGTTTGCTAAGAATTAATACAATTCGATCTCGGGCTATCAATTTTGCAACTGAGCAAAATTATGCACCCGCGACTTTTAATATATACCTACCGTGATGTAAATAAGTGATAACTAGATTATATTTATATACCTATAATGATAATTTATTTACGTGAATAAAAAATGTCGCTGATATTTCAACGAGAACCTTCGCGAAATCTAAAAATAAGCGTTTTAATATTATTACGTAATAACCTTCCAATTGTTTCTCCAGATACGATAAGTCTAACGTATCTTGTATAAAAAATATTATAAATGTACATGTCGTGTACATTTACAATATTTTTAACATAATTACAAAAAAAAATAGTCGCAAATGAAAAGAAAACAAATTCAAATGCTTTAACATCTATTGAGGATATTTTGAAACTGCAGCAATATTTAAAACTAGATGCGGGTGAAACTGAGTGAAGCTTATTTGTTAGGGCATGCGTGCTGAAAAACTAATAAATTGTATTGACGTTTTTAAGTTAAAAAATGCAAGGTAATTCTGTTCCTATAGTTATAGTCATAATGCATCTTATCTTATATCTACAGACTATCGGAATCTATAAAAGCAGATTACCCTTGCGAACTTTTGTTCAAAGGGAATGTATTGGAGCGGAATGTTCCACGTCAGAGGTAAAAGCAAGTATTCATGTTTAATTTCGGCCCACATGAGCCCGTAAAAACTCTTTTATCTTAAATTCTGTACAAAAGAATTGTATTCCTACTTTTTTAAGAAACAATTTAATAAATATGTAAGTATACGTAACGAGTAATTAAGTAAATATATGTTATTACATATAACGCATATTATGTACAAGCTTAATTAAATAGATACATATATATAGATATATGATTAAAGAAGATTTAACTATAACTATCGTTCCGTTTATCGGGAAAATAAAAACCCTATTCACTATGCTCGTCATGGAAATACATATTCCATTAATGCTTTAAGTCATAAAAAAATATGTCAAATATTACTACTACTTTATTATTGAACGATTGTTTTTGCAACGCCTTGGCTATCCTCCATTCCTCCCTATCCTGACTTTTAAAACAAACAATAAGATTTTACACAATTTAAAGATTTTTCTTATATATTATTTTATGGCCTGGTAACGAGACCATAAAACCAACATATAGATGTCAATCTGTCAGTACGAAAATACCATAGACAAAAGATTAAAAGAAAATAATGTATAGAAGTGAACATCAAACTGAAATTGTGCTCTCTGTTAAATGTAAACTTTGAACTTGGCGTTTCTCTCATCAATGTCATTCGCACACTGCACAGCATTTTCGCAGAAATTCATTTTTCTCTTTTGCCAACAGTTAAAACTTTACGAGATAATACCGGCGTTTAGTGATCCAAGATTACTAAATACCGTTAATTAAGTTATTTTGTACCTAAACTCATTCACAGTTTTGAAAAGAGGTATTAACTTCAACTAAAGATATTCTTCATTTAATAATATAGTTTAAGTATATAATCCAAAAGTAATAGATAACTAAATGTTAAAATATCATTAAGTTACTGACCTCATATACGTTAGGACAGTTACCTCAAAATAATTAAAAACATTTTCATTACATTTACAGTTATAATGGCTAAGCAATGGGGTCAAAAAGCAGAAGAATTGGAAATATCAAACAAAGTAGCAGGGTTGGGTTTGCACAAGAAACCTATTGAAAGTACTGATGATGACACCGCTGACGCTGCAAATCCTGCAGAAGCTTCATTACTTATGAAAATAATTAGACAAGGTTTGGTTGAGTCTAAATTAGACATAGAAATTCAAAGGAAAGATCCCAATTCACCACTTTATTCTGTAAAAACATTCGAAGCATTGCATTTAAAACCAAATCTACTTAAAGGAGTGTATGACATGGGCTTTAATGCTCCTTCTAAAATACAAGAAACTGCTCTCCCAACACTTTTAGCAGACCCTCCACAAAACATGATTGCACAGTCTCAATCAGGTACAGGTAAAACTGCTGCTTTTGTACTAGCAATGCTAAGCAGAGTAGATCCCTCTAAAAACTATCCACAAGTACTTTGCCTCAGTCCAACTTATGAATTAGCAATACAAACTGGTGAGGTTGCCGCAAGAATGGCTAAATTCTGCCCTGAAATCAAACTTAAATATGCTGTTAGAGGTGAAGAACTTCCAAAAGGCACAAAAATAACAGATCATATACTTATAGGAACACCAGGAAAGATGTTAGACTGGGGAGTAAAGTTTGTTATGTTTGATTTAACAAAAATAAAGGTTTTTGTATTGGATGAAGCTGACATCATGATAGACAGACAAGGCCATCAGGATCAGTGTGTTAAAATTCACAAACGTCTTCCTACAACATGTCAAATGATGTTCTTTTCTGCTACCTATACCAGTGCTGTGATGGAATTTGCTGAAATTATTGTACCCAACCCCATAATTATTCGCCTCCTACGTGAAGAAGAATCTTTAGATAACATTAAACAATATTATGTAAAATGTAAGAGTCATGAGGATAAATACAGAGCTATTTGCAATATTTATGGTGTTATAACTATTGGACAGGCTATAATTTTTTGTCATACAAGAAAAACTGCTAGCTGGCTCTCTGAAAAAATGTCAAGAGATGGCCACTCTGTTGCGGTTTTATCTGGAGAATTGACAGTTGAGCAAAGAATTGCTGTGCTTGACAGATTTAGAGGAGGTCTAGAAAAGGTGTTGATCACTACAAATGTACTTTCCCGTGGCATTGATATAGAACAAGTGACTCTTGTTGTGAACTTTGATATGCCTATGGATCTTGATAGAAAAGCCGACTGTGAATCCTATTTGCATAGGATAGGCCGCACTGGAAGATTTGGTAAAGCAGGGATAGCCATAAACCTAATTGATTCACAGCAAGCAATGGAAATTTGTTTAGAGATTGAAGCACATTTTGGAAAGAAAATCAAACTGCTAGATATTGAAGATGCAGAAGAAATTGAGAAAATTGGTGCATGAATTGTTATAATCAGTCTGTCAATAGTTTCTTTGGTTATTTTTAGCATGTAAGTGACATTTTTTAAGATAAAACCAAAAAAATATACATTTGCTTAAATGACTTTGTTTTTTGTATTTATAGCCTATAATATACTACTATGTATACTTAGTGACTACAGATTAAAGACACTAACTAGAACTGAAAAATGTTCAAGTAATTTATTAATTTTCTTTTATTATTTATTTTAAATACATACACTGTTAACCAGAAATTAATAAAACTGCATACTAATATTAAAGTTTTTATTACCACACCAATTCATGTAATGACTCCAAATAGTAACATAATTACTCTGCTACATTAATAAATAACTTAAAATAAACATTGACTACCACATTTAACGTGAGGGTTGAGCAGCACCTTCAGGATTCCCAGCACCAGATATCATTACAAATACTGCAATTGGAACTATATACATCCACTGAAAATAAAACGTATTTTAAAACAACTTTATTAGGTAGAAACATTAAAAAAGATAGTTTTTATATAAGCTGATACACATCATATTTCCTTGGCATTCAGAAAATCTTGCACTTAATTCAATTTGATCCACACATTACTTACATATTTAGCTAAAAATGATCTATTGTCCTTAAGTTCCCCTTTCTCCCTTGCTTCTCTTTCTCTTTCTAATTTTTGAATATATGATGCAGTATCTGGACTGTAAATTATTAAATTATACAATCTATAACATTATAATAACAAAATATGATTGACTTAAATGAGATAACTAATGAGTAACATACACAGGTGCTTGATCAACATGCCGAAGATAGAAATCTGAATTTATTGGATATTCAGAATCTAGATTCAATGCATTTGTTTGAGTAGAATTCATAACTTGGAATGTAACTGCTATAACTTCACCACTAGGCAGCACCCAGGCACTTATAATATCAGACAATCCATTTTCTAACAAGCCTTTTGCTTTTACAGATGATAAGAATTCAATTTCCTTTCCTTCTGCTGTTGAAACCAATGTTCTAATTGTGTAGAAGCCATCGAGTTCAGCAAGCTCCTACAAAAAGGAACAGTTAATAGATAATGTTAATATCTGTGCTGGATAATGTGTACTTTGATGTGGAATAAATCAATTAAAAACTGAATACTGTCTATAGTTTAGGCGAGTAGTACACATTTAAATAAAACACTTTAATGGTTTAAAACGCAATATATGTTATTTGTAAATGATTTTTAACTTCGGCCCGACGTTTCGGATGCTTTGCAGCAGCCGAGGTCACGGGGAGACACATAAGTTTAACTAATATATCGCGTTTTAAACCGTTAGTGTTTTATTATAATACTTAACACTGATTTATGAAATAATTAATGCTCTTATACTATAATTATAAGCAACTTATAATGGGTAAATTATACAAACCTGTAACTCTTTAATGTGCTTTCTATTAAATGGTATTTGATCAATAATTGCCGTGCCAGCCCTTATACTTTTAAGGGTTATAGTACCTCTTTTACAATATTTTTCACTAGCGCAGTTTAGAGAATGATCCACTTTGATATTCATCCACCCATCGTAATCGAGACATGCCTGAAGTTAAAAATTAATACTTTATTTCACTATAATTGAAATATACATTTCTTAGTTGCAATACGAACCACATAATGAAAAAATATTGTTAAAAATATAAACATTAAATGCATTATTGCAATGACGCGACGAGATATTTATTTTAAAATGTTTAATAAATTAAAATCAATCGGAATAATTTTAAAGTTTTAGTTACACCAATTACTTAAGCAACAATAAGGGTCGAAGAATAATGTGTTTGTTTTTGTCTTAAACTGTGGAGAGTGAGAGCTTCAATAAATTGGTCTGTGGAATAACACTAAAACCATGCGTATTCTGTGATGTAAAGAAAACAAGAACCCATAATAATAAACTCTGTTAAGTGTTAAGAATTGTTCATAACATTTATATTAGATGTGTTTACTACGAAATTTATTCTAAAATTATAAAAGAATAAACTTAAAACATGGAGGAAGTCGATTCTATCATCATTCACTTCTTACGGCAGTTAAATATGTTCGTAAATTCTTTTTCCTTAAGACCGAATGTTTTCTAATTAGAATATTATATTTTACTGAAATTATTATTTTTTCATGCTTATGCAGATGAGAAACTCAAAGCACATCATGCTGTAATCGTGGGTTCGAGTCCCTAAATAAGTTTTAATAATTTAAAAATCGAAAATAAATTGAAAAAATTTTCGACTCGGACAGGACTTAGACCGGCATCGTCAGCTTTCCGTGCTGTTGCTCTATCAATTGGGACTCGGTAGCTCAATTTTTACTCAATCACGATTTTTTAAATTATATAGTGCCTTCATGTGCACTATATAATTTAACATGTGAAAAATATTAATGTTTTCAAGTTTTAATAACTTAATATGTTTCTTACAGAAAAATCAGTCACGATGTTAAAAACATATGCGATATACCAGTGGAAACTATAATTGAAGCAGCTGCACAATGTATTGCAACTATTAATCCGAATTTAAAAGTACCAATGAAGTTACCACCAGGTGTTTCGCAGAGAATTGGAGTAGCAACGCAGATTGCTTCTTGTTGCAAGGTATTTACTGGTATTACCTATTACAAGTGTAGCCTTTATTTTTTTTAACGTCTTATTAAAATAGAAATTTTACAAATCAATTTTATTAACAAGAAAGTAAGGAAAAGGCAGTTGGAATGCCTGGTCAATAATTTTATTGTTTCCCAGATATTTAAGGAAATTGTGCTTAAAAGAAATGCTAGACGACCCAATTGACTCTTAAGCTATGGAAATGGGCATCATTAAAATATGCTAATAACTAATTTTAGGATATTGGATATAAAAATGATGTTGGCTATCAAACATTTCTATACTACAATGAGTCTGAGTTGCGACAAGTGTTTATGTTCTTAATTGAAAAACTACCAAGTGAAGATAAACAAAGTGTACAGGTATCATCATCAAATAAAACACAATTACTAATGCGACAAATTAGCTTAAAAATTGCGGAAGATCTTAACACCATTTGGATACCACCATGTTGCAAGAACCCTGTGAAAAAAACACTTTGGAACAGTATACTTATTGGACAGGGTGTGTATAATTATTGAATTTAATGTGTAAAACTTACTGGTACTTGTAAGTAGGTAAATAAAAATGCTTTGTAGATATTATAAATATGCGTCTCAAATGTTTCAGATAATGCCTCTGGAATAAAGATTGATGAAGAATCAGTCATTGAACAGATAATACAGTTGCAAGAGCTTAAAGTTAACAAACAAATTCTCTTAGAAACTGATAGAATGACAAATAAATTAGTTACTGATGGAAATGAAAACAAACAAGAAATAAAAGAAACTCTCAAAGAGTTAAAGGAAACAACAATTCTATTAAAACAGAAATTGGATACCCTCACAAGTGAAAGAAATGTTATGGAAGTAGAATTTTCTCAGGTATTTAATCATCATCAATGTAAAAATTTGTTGTAAACAACATGAAAAGTGCTAAAATAATCCAAACTCTGTTTTAGGCGCAAAAAAATTGTGAACGTGTAGAACTGGAGTTAAAAAATATACAAAACATTCTTGGGAGTATTGGCATTACCAATGTTGAGTCAGAAAATTCAGTTGACAACCTTTTAGAAATAGTTCATAGTAATATCAGTAAAATGCATGGTAGGGTTGAAGAATTGACATCAAAAAACTTATCTTTAAAAGTGGAATTCGAGAAATTAAAAAATGAAACACAAATAGAGTTGGTAAGATCATATTCTACTGTATTATCCCTTCATAAAAATGCAAATAGAGTAAATGTAATTGCAGTTTTATCAATTTTAGTCTGAGAAAAACCGGTGTAAGAAAATCCTAATAGATTTGAAAGAGAAGGCTAAAGGCGTTAAAGAAGAATGTGAAAGCAAAGAAGAGCTTCGGCTTCAATTAAAGGCAAAGTATGAGAAACTCAAGGGTGGAAACAAAAGGTATCGGAACATTTCTTCTGTTATACTTACTATTATATTCATGTTTTAAATAACTATCCAATTGCTAATCAGACCTGTAATTTCAGATATGTATATACAAAACGAATATTAGAAATAATTGGAAACGTTGATAAGCAGAACATAGAAATTAAAAAAATATTAGATGACACTCGCCAACTGCAAAAAGAAATAAATACGCTGGAAGGGCAATTAGGGAGATGTTTTTCCATTGCGGATGAAACACTATTTAAGGTTCACAAATTTCTTATTTAGTCATTTACTTTATTGAATATAAAAAATAGTAATATGTTTATTTTATAGGATGCGAAAAGGGATGATCAAGCAAAGAAAGCCTACAAATTACTTGCACTGCTGCATTCTGAATGCAATACTATTGTATCACTTGTAAATGAAACTGGCACTTTAGCTAGAGACATAGTTGATCTTGAGGATAATATCAAGACTGAGAAATCAAAACGGACTGAGAATATTCTACAGAAAATACAAACAGATCTTGCTAATTTACAAAAGGAATCTGGTTGATAATATAAGAGATGATTTGAAAGCAATTATATCTTATCAACATTAAATTTCCAGTTGTTTCTTTGATCTTTACAGACTAAAATTAATGGACTTTTTATCTGGTTAGACATGTTATACTTTAAAACCTTGTTTATTGTTTGTAACTTTGGATGTGCATGTCAGTGTACATAATAAATAAAATTTCCTTCATAGTATTCTATAATTTATTTTACCAAACTAAACCAATTTACTTTTTCTTTGGTAAAATTTCAGGAGGAATATAGTCTTCATCAGATTTGTCTTGTGTTTTGCTTTTTATTTGAGTTTTATCCTCCATTTGCTCTTTTTCCTCTATCTGAAGGTCTATTTTTTCTTCATTTTCAAAGAACCAAAGCTTTTGTTCTTCTGTCTGTAATTGTTTTTGTTTTTCTTCAATTGACTGGACTCGTTTTATTCTACTCAATCGCTCTATTTGATTTTGAAATTCTTTTTCGCGCACTATTTCCCATTCTTTAAATATCTGAAAAAAAATGTAATTATGTTGTTTTTATTTTATTGTCAATTTGATAGCTTTTAGCAAGAACATTTTTAGATTTTTGAAGACACTTAACAGTAAAATTACAATCATCTTTTGCATTATAATGCACAACTTCTTCAAATAGAAGGTTCAACATTTATTAACTAAATAACAAAGAGGTGAAAAGTTTTAAATCACAATTTGACAATACTTTTTATAAAAAGTAAAATAACAATTTACCTTTTCTTGAAATAAAATATCCTTGTTTTGGCATCTATTAATAGCATTTTCCACTAAATTTTTTATAGGTTCCTCCATTTTTCCTTCAATAATTTCCACATTACCTAATAAGGTCATTGCTTTGTCCATTTCATCTTTGATATCTTCTGTTGTTTCTGATTTGAGACAATCAATAACTTCTCTGTACACTTTAAAAGAGCTATTGCTACTTAATTGTTGAACTAATGAAAGTAGTTTATCATAGTTTTTATAGTATAACCATCCAAGTATTTGAAGATTATTACTGGTATTATCTTCAAATTGTTTTGAAATCCACGCTAATGTTTTTCCAGATAGTACTTTAATATCATCTATATCAAAATGATCATCATTATATGGATTCCGAAGGTATTTTATTCTTATTTTGATTTCTTCAACTTTTTTGTTTTTATCTACTTCATTTTGCTGTTGTGGAGTCAAAAATTTATTTTCAGTGAATAATTTATAACAGGCATACTGACAAAGGGCACAGGTAATATCATTTGAATAATCTTCTTGTAACATTATAAGGGATGCTACATTAGCAGCCATCTCATAGCTTGCAGATTTAATCAGTTTATTCAATAATAAATTTGCTGCATAGAAATCAAGGAATATTCCATAGTTAATAGGGTCTTTAAGGATATCAACAAGGTCCTGAATATTTCCAAACTCCATATAGTTTCTCACAGTAGCATGATGTGTAGATTCCAATGTCTTACCAGTTTCAGCTGACAATCTTAGTTTATGTAAAAGGTCCTTTAGTTCTTCCAAGTACATAGGGTCTTTAACAGCATTAGCAAAGATGTCAACGTCTATTGCACTTATAACACCTTTAGAAGAATAATTCTGATCTAAAGTGGCGTAAAATTCGCCAATATTTACTTTTGATATTATAGGATGGTTAACCTGTGTTTTCCATGCATTAATACATTTGTATTCGTTTGTAAGAAAAGTATTCCTAGCCGTGACAGATAATGAATTTGTAGCAAGAAGCCTAACGGATCTAAACATTTTTTCTTTTCATTGAAATATTAATTAAGTTGCAAAAGATGTATTCACAATATAAGCATCGAGTATACCTCAATACGATATAATAGTAATACTACAATATAATGATATGGCACGCCGAAGATAATCAGATTTTCTTCATAGAGTATATTAAGCATTCGTCCAAAGTTTATGAATGCTGTACTACATCTGTATTTTATGATTAATGCTATTCTTATTTCGTTGTCAGAACTTTATTTTATCCTGTAACTACTAATAAGTAATCTGTGGTGCACCATGCTCATGCCACTTAGGCAGCGGCCCTTCTCATTTTGACGAGTATACAATATACATAGGAAATAGATTTTATATTCTAAAACAATATAGAAGATTAAATGAAATAAAAGTTGATTGAATTATTTAGAGTTAATTAGTAAACAGCTAATATATTTACATTGAAATTTATCTTTCATTGGTCCTGGATCTTTGGTACACATGCTTGAATTTATGTGCCCATAACATAAAATCACTTATTTTTTAAGAACCTAGTAGTATGAGTGATTTATATTTTGCCGTGGTATGTTCATCAAACATGAACAGAAGTATGGAGGCACACGCGTTTCTTGTAAAAAAAGGATTTAAAGTCAAATCCTTTGGAACTGGTGAAAAAGTTAAATTACCTGGAACTTCAGCTGATAGACCCAATTGTTACGAGTTTGGAATTGCATATGATGATATTTATAATGATTTATTAGAAAAAGATAAATCTTATTATACTCAAAATGGTCTGTTACATATGCTTGACCGGAATCGTAGGATCAAACCTTGTCCTGAGAAATTTCAAGCATCTAATGAAATATTTGATGTAGTTATAACATGTGAAGAACGAGTTTATGACCAAGTTATTGAATGGTTTGTCTCTAGAAAAACAGTTTGTAACCAGCCGGTTCATATTATCAACATTGATATTCAAGATAATCATGAAGAAGCAACTATTGGTGCATTTCTTATAAGTGATATGGTTACTAAGATGTCTCAAAGTGACGATTTGGATAATGATATTGATGAGCTGTTACATGAGTTTGAATCAAAATGTCATAGACCAATATTAAATAGCATAATGTTTTATTAATATTCTAATAATTTAGTTTATATTTATGCTGTCTATGTACTCAAAATGTATAATAAGAATTTTTACCATAATTTGAAATATGTATGTTTTAAACCTACATTTTCTGGTACAAATTATTCAGTACCTATTTAAGTAAAGAAGATGTACTAAAAATAAACTTTGATTGCATTGTCAACAACATACATTTAAATAAAGACAGTTATGTCCCACACTGTATATATCAAGAACGTACTAATCATTTATTTATTTTTTAATATCTGTTTAAAACATTACAATAAAATCTTTTACAAGCCATTCACATTGCCATTACATGAAAATTATTTGTATGCACTCTTATTTTAACATAAACAACACTGTTCTGAAAGTAAATCGTTATTGTGAAGATTGTCGTGTATACGTATGTTACAAATTTTACATTTAAAATTTATGATCAAGTTGAAACTTAGGGCCGAACTCCAGCGATGGCTTAACCCTGACCGAATCGTATTTAACCTCAATAATAACAAAATATACCTGGCAACATTGATTTTTCTATTCACAAACATACGTCTGTGCTTAGTACCAATTTACCTACTGTTCAACTGTTGGCTCTGTGGTACATAGCTTTTTATTTACATATTGCATATTACCTACTATTAGTTAATACCAAAACCATTCTAATTGTCTTGGAATCTTTTTAAAATGAACTAAATAAAAAAAGAACAAGGTCTAATAATTACAATGAACCAATTACTTAAAAATATCGCATTCAAAAATGTTTGCGCTATTGCTGTAAATAACCTACACACTACTGTTCCTGTATCGGCATGGACCAAATCGGAGATACCACAATCATTTATCAGAAACAATAAGAAAATATATCCACCACAGGAACCTTTTGAAGAACCAAGACCAGCTGTAAGTGTTGTGTTAGTAATTATATAATAAAATATTAAATTAATAACTTTTTTTTAATGTTTTAGTTTGTTTGTCATCAAAAAACGAATATTAAATATAGTCCCGAAAAACTATGGTATATTGCTTGTTTTGTTCGAGGAATGACTGTTGATGAGGCTATAAAGCAATTGAGTTTTGTCAACAAAAAAGGTGCAGGATTTGTGAAAGATACTATACTTGAAGCTCAAGAGCTTGCTGTATCACAACATAATGTTGAATTCCGTAGTAACCTTTGGGTTGGTAAGTATAACTTTCTAGACTTTTTTATTCTTGCATGAACCTTCTATTAGTTGAGATAAAATATAATATCAATGTGAGATTTATTATAATGGCTTTTAATTAAAGTACACAAATGTAACGTCATAGATAAAAAAAATATATATATGGGTTTAAAAAATTTCAGCTGAATCATTTTCTGGAAAAGGAACTGTTATGAAAGGTATTAGGAGGCATGCAAGAGGACGGTTGGGTGAAGTTCGTTACCAATATAGCCATTATTTTGTTCGACTTGAAGAAGGAAAACCACCTGCAGATTATTATAAAAGAAATCTCTTACAACCACACCAACAACTTGATAAGTGGTTAGAACAAATGAGAAAACGAAAAATTATAAATTCATTTTGAGTTGTATATAGTTATGACAGAAAGTTTAGTCAAGATTTTTATAGCCTTAAAATTGGTCAATAAACTTTATATCTGATTTCTTTGGCTTTTATTTTAAAAAAGCAAATAAACAACTTAATGGAAAACCTTTATGTATATATGGAATAACTATATTTAATGTTTCAAGTGTAAGTGATGTTCTTCTACAACCAATCTTGAACTGGTAATGTATTTCCCTCATTGTACGTAAGGTCTTTAGGGAATGTTATCAGAATAAAACATTTTTCCAAATCTAAAAGAATAGTTTTTTTTATTATAAGTATATTGATCATTAAAAATGTATAAAATATAATATTATAATCATCTTAAATATCTAATACTTTACTTATAATTAACATTGTATAAGTACATACTGGCAAATACTTTGAGTATAATAAAATTCATACATTTAAAGAATTTCGAGGTTCTTTCTTCTTAGGAACATAGCCATACAAAAATATGGAACCGATAACTAACATGGTACCAATTGAAAATTGCACTGTCAAATGAAAATCAAATATAAACATTGATACAATGCAAGAAATTATGATAGCTACAGAAGTTGCAAACCCCTTGAGTATATTGTCTGCGTATTTAACAACAACAGCAACAATTAAACCTCCAGCTGCTTGTAATACAACTAGATACCATACAACACCATCAAAGCCTTTTAGCAATTCAGACATTGACCCTTTACTGTCTATGAGATATGTAATAAGAGCAATTGGAAGTGACAATAGACTCAATTGAACATTCCTCATCCAGACCTGAAATAAAAAATTAATAATTACCTTAACTAAAAACTTTCATAATATGCAGATAACTAGAAATAGAAACATGTTGGACCCAGTGGGGACGGAACCCGCAACCCATTTATTATCATTGTTATAATAATACAGCCTACCATTAAACCAACAAGCCCATCAAATATAATATTTTGGTTTATTAATCCATAATCTCTTTAAAAAAAGTATATTCTTACTAATATTATAAATGCGAATGTAACTCTGTCTGTCTGTTACTCTTTCACGTCAAAACTACTGAACGGATTTGAATGAAATTTAGTACAAAGATAGTTTATACCCTGAGAAAGAACATAGGCTACTTTCATTGCGAAGGGGGGGTGAAAGTTTGTATGGAAATTCGTGGTTTTTGAAGCTAGAACAATGAAACTTTTTTTTGGGAATAGGAGTGGGAGTGCGAGTTAGAGTAGGAGTGATGTGAGGTGAAAGTGTTGCGAGAAAGTACCATTGGCTACGATAAATGTGCAACTACATAAATTAATAAACAGCCTAAATAATTGAAATTTCTACCCCAAGTCACTATTCCACGCGAACAAAGTCGGGGGCACAGCTAGTACCCTATAATACCTTTGTAATTATTAAGGATTGTTTACTACAAACCTTGTACATTATAATAATTTTAAGCTCCTAAGAGAAATTACATAGTTATCTACACAAAATTTAATGAACTTACAGAAATATCAGATTCTTTCAATACTTTTTCGAAATAAATTCCAGCAAAACCGGAAATAACACAAGCTGCTAAGACAGAAGAAAAACCAAGAACTTTCGATTGATTTTGAAGGTCTGCTGATTGAGATCCCTTTGAAGTTGTCGTAAGTTGAACTAATGCAACACCAATAACTAGTAGCCCTAAAGCGCCCCATTGCCATCTTTTTAACCTTCTCTTTAGAACTAATACTGCAAAAACAGCAGTTGTCAATAACTTCAACTGAAATGTAACCTGCAATTCCCAAAATATATTTTAGTGACATTAAAAAAGTACATTACGCCAAGGAACATTGATTATACCATTTTAATTAAATATCTCTGCTTATAATTAATAATTCAACTTTACCTGATATGTAGCAGCATCTAAGTTAGAAGTAGCAACATACAACAAATTATTTTGTATCACATACAGAAATGATGGCAAACCGACACGCAAAGTATCTTTTATATTTAATACAGTGCTATACATTGTATGGGTTCCTTTTCGAATGCTTCCAGACTCGTTAATTACCAGCACAATACATATCGCTAACTTTAAAAATTCTGTCATCAAAACGGCTGAAATTTTAAAAATTTCATACAGATACAGAACTACAAATTCCTTTACGAAATATTCATTCAACACTTACCAGCAGCACTTGAAAACATCTCAACCTTTCTTGTTCGTGCATATCTCATGCTTAAACCTAATGCAGCATTCTGAACAGTCAGAATTGCAAGGCTCACATACTTTATGTATCCTGGAAAGAGCATTTTAATTTAAAAGTATTTTGTTATTATTGTTACTATTTCTAACAAAACCCGTTTCCTTTACAAGATCCTATCATTATGATAAGTAATTTTATAATCTCAGAACATAAAATTGATTTTATATTTTAATCATACATAAAGATAAAGTATATGTATAATAATAGTAATATATGATTATAAACCGATTTATAACAGTAATATACTTAATGAATGTTTCTGTAGTTATAGTCTTTTGGCTTAGACGAGTGCTAAGAATGGCTTCAAATCAACCCAAATAAATAATTGAATACTTCACTTTACCATATTTCACTTGTCTATTAGGGGAGTAGGTTTTTTCCTTTTTATTTTCACTGTCCATTTCTTCTAAATTGAGTTGTGTTTCTGGAGTTATATTTTCAGCTTCAAGCTCAATGTGTTCTTGAGTTTCCTGGGGATTAACGTCGTTTGCTGACTTCATAGAAACGTGACAACGATTTATTTTGGGACAAAAACGGGAGCTAAAGCTTTTAAAGTTAAATTATGTAGAAAATATTTAAGTTTAGATACAAAATTATACAGCTTTTAAGGTATGGCACAGTAAAGACTTATTTTAATCCCTGAAATAAAACAAAATTAATTATTGTATTTTAATAAATAATTTTTATATTATCTTCTCTAATATTATTTACACTATACATTAGTATAAAAATTCTTTACCTTTATAAAAAGCGTTATTCATTGATTTTGTTTGTACTGCATACTTGTAAAATAAAGTCTTTAACTTAAACTATTAAATCCAGTTAAGAAAAGCAAAAAAGGGCTAATAAATACATATTTATTAGCTTTGAACTTTGTAATATTTACGGAATACCTCCTGCTCTTTCCCTTTTTTGTTGACGCAAGCAATTTTTAAACTTTGACTACTCGACCACAGAGTATGGTGTGTTAACATTAATAGTATAGATTAGTAATGTATCGTAGAGCTGGATTTACCGACGTGACGCAACAGGGTATAGGGTATGGATTTCGTAAATGGGTAATGTGTCTCGTGGGCCTTTATTGCGATGTAATGTTAGCTTTTTTTCCTAGATAGGCACCATGTTATGAAATATTTCGGTTAGTAAATGGAACGGAACGGATACTGTACCTTTCTTCATAAATCTTAGATTATTAGTTAGGGGTTGATAGAAAATCTCTAACAAATATCACACAAGTGAGTTCCTAATAAAGACAATATAGTATTCAACCTTTCAAATCTAAAACCTTTTATTGCTGCTTCATATTAAAGTCATTATTATTGTTCATGCCAAAATAATACTAGGTCTACAAAAGAACACATGAAGAAGTACTTAGGTATAATTATTACACTTTAATTTTTTAAAGTACATACGATAATTATCACATAAATTGTCTGTGGTTAGAGATTTATATCAAAGTGGTAATTAAACTATTTGGAGAAAAATAAATTACAGATATTTTCTACTTTAGTTAGGGTAATATTAAGATAGCATATATTATAATAAATAATAACAGTTATTATTCAACTACTACACAATGTGTTTGACACTGAAATTTATTCATCATTTTCAAAATCAGCTGGATTTTTTCTTGAAAGCCTGCGGTGTTCCGTTTCAACACCATTATAAACTAGGTAGCCAATAATGAAGGCTGAAATGGAAAACAGATTACATAATTAAAAACAAGGCTTCTGAAAAACTGTTTATATTTGTTTAAATGCTTGTGTATTTGAGAGTTTTAGATACACACCTAAAATTGAATCCACAGCAATATTTTAAGTTCAGTAGGTAGCAGTATTTATATAGAAACTATAGAAGTCTTTAAAAAGTTGTATAATACATTAATATTACTTATTTTTAAGTTTAAGATTTACCTATTTAAGAAAAAAAAAATTAAACACTTACGAGGTGCAACCCTGAACACACATTCTCGAAATCTGCGAAAGATGTTCGGCAGACCATTGGAAATGGCTCCAGCAAATGCTCTTTGCTCATATGGGGATATCCGATAAGAAATCAGTCCTCGGATTTTCGCGAGCTCTCCGAAATGTTTACCCATTGTTCGTTAGTGCAGGGAACCAACAAAATAAGAACTGGACAATATTACGTAATTTCAATATTGAAACGAAGTTTCCACTATAGCTCTATTATGAACTCAATGTTGAGCCCTAACGTAAGGCGCAAGTATGGGCGCACGAGCACAGATGTCGGTAGCAGATAATAACATCTTTTCAATACAGACACGCATGTTAAACGACTACCATATCTTTAACGACTGCCACAGATTAGAAATGACTGTAATACCACTAACCAATCGACTTATACCTTTGTTATAATACATGGTTATAAAAAAAAACAACTGCTACATAAAAGTGCTCTCATAGAATTTAAATTTCCAGTAAATTATTGACAATTCGCTCTGCTTGTAGACTTTTTGTTAAATATACATCACAGTGATTTGAATCGTATATTCTTTGTGATTGGATAAATAAACAATATTTTTTTAAATGCCATTAAAATAAAATTCCTTACTTTAAACATGACTCCACAATATCTACGCGATGAACATACATTTATTCCGATAGAAATAGAAGAAAATGATATTTATTCCGGAGTGTTAAAAGTATTACACGAGATAAGACCTGAATGGCCTCAAGAACATATTAATTTAAAGGTATTGTAATATGTTTCCTTTTTAAAATATAACGCTGTCCAATATAATTAAGAGTAAAATATTATGCACGTATTATTTGCAGGTTTTTACAGACGGTTTAACAAATAAATTGATAGCCTGCGAATTAAAGCACACGAAGAAAATCGATAGTAATATAGTGTTGATCCGCATTTATGGAAATAAAACGGATTTATTAATTGATAGGACAGCAGAAGTCAGGTAAAAATATACAATGAAAGAAATATTTTTATTTTACTTTTTTGGTCACAAATATTGCCATTTTTCAGAAACATAACAACTCTTCATAAACTGAACTTAGCCCCTGAAATTTATGGCGTTTTTAAAAATGGTCTGGCATACCAATACTACCCTGGTGTTACACTTAATGTTGATACTGTAGTTGATGTCAAGATAGCCGCTTTAGTGGCTAAACAAATGGCTAAAATGCACAAGGTTGAATTATGTGTGGATGTAAGTAAAACACATTTTTAAAAATGATTGGGACTTGATTTTCTTCTATATACAGAATGCTCATGTGCTAGCAATGTATGTGCTTATAAATATACATGTGAGACTATTCAAATAAGATTTTTCTAAACACCTTTGAAACATTAATAAAACTTATGAAAAGGTTCAATATTTTCTCTGAGTCACAACCCATACTCATGTTTCCATGATATGTAGTTTAAAATTTAAAGTAAGACATTTCACCTTCCGTACTTCATGTGTATTATAAACATGAGTGAAATGCCTTTTTTGGGTTGAATAATCATTTCATTTTGTTTCTATTAATGTGATTTATTTATCTACAATTTTTTTTAAATAAGTTTAACTAACATATTTCATGTTTTAACCGTTAAAGTGTTTTTACTTAAAAGTGTTCTACTTGTGTAACTACACACAGAATTCCTTCAATTAATATTTTATGATGCATTACACCATATTTCAATAAGTCAAGTATATCTTATGTATAATAATATTATAAAACTATTGTCGTTCTAACAAAATTTCCACTATTATATTGATATGTTTGTAAGCAAACACTTCTGTTTCTTAATTGTATGTGTGAAGCAATTCACATCAATTGAGTGAAGTAGTCTCATCCGACATATATTGGACCCCTGATATATGTGTGAAATTTAACTGGATCAACTTCACACTTAGACAAGTCATAAAAACGACGTATATATAGAACAACTAGTATTTAAAATTTTGTTAATCTGTTTGTTTCTTTTTGATATCATGTAAAGTCTAAAACCGTTTGCGATATTCTTTATAAAGGGACAAATTTACAATATATCATTTATTTATTTGTATTATTTTTATAACACATAGCGAGCTATGATTTGTGATTTAAAATTATCAATTAGGTACCTTCTGTTTGTTTTGTTACTTTTGAATGGCAGATAACAGTCAAGAATACAATTCGTTGATAAGTTTGAGGGGTTAAGGTTAGTTTTGATTATAGTTACTTGCTCCTAAATGATTGTTATCTAATCCCAAATATAACAAGTAGTATCATTTTCTAGTAAAAAAGTAAATTTAAAATGTTTTTGATTTATTAGCTTTTCCAAATGTTACGAAGTAACTTATTTCTTGACCGATTACTTTTTAAGGCACGGGTTTTATTGGAGTCATCGAATTTTTTTGTGGTAAAACTTTCCAGTGTTCAAACAATCAGTATTTAAATTATTATTAAATGTGATCTTGGTATGTGTAAATAATATTAATATCGGCCAGAATCACCTGCAGTACTTTAAAAATAATTCACAAATACGGCATATTTATCATTAGGTCACGGGTTCAGGTCCCGGAGGCACGAGGTAAATAAAAATTATCTTAGAACTGGACAACGATCAGTTAAAATGTATGGTCGTTTCCCATTTGGGGAGGACGTGAGGCTAAGAGGTCATGTTTGTTATCTTGTTGATAGATATTTTAGGTACGTTTGATTCTCGCTCGTTTGATACACACATAAATATGAATCATAAATAACTAACCAAAATTTTAGGTTGAATAATTTTTCGGACGGAAACGGAAATAAAACGGAACGGCATGGTCTGGGGTTGGGGTCGAGTTACATCCGAGTTTAATTTTGTATAACAAATATAATCAATTTTGGAATAAGCTTTACTTTGACTTTATATTAAATGTGCTTATTGAATGACGCTGAGTGATTAGTTGATTTTATATCGCAGTAAAACATTTAGTTAATTAACAAAATTATTTCTCTTTTATTGCAGATAAAGAAAGAGCCCATGATTTGGGACAAAATTGAGCAGTTTCTTTGCTTAGTACCTGAACCATTTACGAACTCTTTAAAGCAAATTAGGTAAGATTGTGTTAGACCCGTGTAATATTTTGCACAATCATTTCTGAACAGAGATTTTAGATTAAGATATATAAATATTTAAGGAGGAATGGCACAAGTAGATTTAAACTACTGTAGTGGAAAGTAAACTCTAATTATTACAATTTAAGTTACTACAAGAGTACAGTGGCAGATATTTGCCAAATTAAACTTAGGCCTTTTTAGCAATGGTAGAAAGACCTTACAGGTAACATATATGTTCTACTTATGAAATCTGGTCGTTGACACCGTATTTTATCAAACAATAGGCGAATCAGCTCTTTTTTTAATAAAAAAGAAGAAAAGACCAGCACGGGGTTCACTTGATGGTAGGTGATATACCCCAGCCTATAGCATCTAAACACGATGCGCTGTCGCCCTATTTTGGCTTTGGATGTTTGGAAACCCACAGACTGAAACCGAAACGCGATTAAGCTTCACGGCTTTTTCATCTGCGGCCGGTGGTTGGTGACCCGGGCGGAATTTCTAAATTCCACCCAATTAATATCCAGATTTTCAGTCGAATGTAACAAATTGAAAAATTAGAAACATGTTGGGCCCGGCGGGAATCGAACCATCGACCCGTTAATTATTAGTACATTAGTACATTGGTACCAATGTATGGTACCATTAGCATGAACCCGTCATAATTGCTTGCTGGTAATTGCTGTCACTAATATTAATACTAAATTATAACGAAGCCATAACATACATAAATATCAGATCCGTTTTATAGTAAAAGACGGTACAATTGTCTTGAATTCGCTCATAGGTACATTTTGGCATAATAATATGAACGCCCCATTTTTACTATCTGCAAATACGTAACATATATTAAAGATAAACAATTTATAGCTCGTATTAACAGTAATCTCTATGTTGACTAAATTGACATAGCGACACATGTGAGCAAAAAAATGTTGAGATATGCGATTTTTTAATGAGGGAAGAAAAGTTTAAGGTTCACTCGTTAGAAGGTAACATACCCCAGCCCTATAACATCTAATTAAGATATGCTATCGACCTATTGCAATAGACATTCGGAGAGAGACTGACATTGAGACCCGTATTTACCTCATGATATGGTACTTCGTGACTCGAATGGAATTTAGATATTACTACCACGTATTTAATGTATTAAATATTGCAATCGTTTAGCATTTTGGAAGATATAATTCGATCAGAAACATGTTATACGGTGGAAATCGAACTCACGACTTTGATTTTTAATATATTGCTCCCTAAATAGGTATGTGGGAAAACTGTATATTCTTTGCAACACCGTACTAGGCATTATCTAAATTGTCGTATCTTTTGTATTGTTGAGTAATTGTTAAGGCTCAAGGTAACTCCATAATAAACCCACTTTACCCGTGTTGTAGATTTGCGAATAGTTTCGGATCGATTACAAGACTACGGATAGAGTTTGAAAGACTAAAATCGCACTTAATAAGAACAGAGAGCCCGGTAGTATTTGCTCACAATGATTTGCTTCTAGGAAACGTGATCTACAATGAAAGTAGTGGGACTGTGTCGTTTATAGATTATGAATACGCGGCATATAATTACCAAGCGTTTGATATCGCAAATCATTTCAACGAGTTTGCTGGTGCGTATATATTTTATAAGTAACTATATAGTACATAAAGCCAATAGAAAATTTTATAGACATCTGATTATACACACACTTGGTAAATCACAATTATTGATGAATGAGAATTATGTATGAAAAATTAACTTGACCTGCTCGAAATTTATGCACAGATAAATTTAATGTGATAAATCTCGCGGCAATGTGTATAGTCAATTTTTCATCTAAAATTTTACGAAGCGTGATTCGAAAATTAGAATCTATTAATCGAATAAGTAAATAAAGACTAAACTGCTTGTAAAACATCTTTTACTGAACAGCTGGAACACCTCATTCTTTAGAGTTTTATATAAATGATAAAGATACTAAGTGGCTACAGAATATAACGTAACTAAAATTACAGGTCTGTCTTTAGACGACATGGATTACGGCCGGTATCCAAAGAAAGATTTTCAAATGTTTTGGATACGTACGTACCTGGAGGAATATTTGGAAACCACGGAGACTGAGATAATATTATCAAAAGCTGAAGAGATTTGGAAAGATACTCAAAAGATGACATTGGCATCGAATTTCATGTGGGGTATTTGGTCTCTAGTTCAGTTTGAGCATTCAACCATCGACTTCGACTTTGGCAGGTAAGAAAATACTTAATGTAACTTGTTTTTAGGGTTCCATACCAAAAGGGTACCTACAACGCTTCTCTCTCATCTATCACTAGACTTTATTATATGGTCCGTGGTAAAATTTTTACCTACCCGCAGAACTAAACTGTTCTAAGGCCTTAACTAATCTTCAAAATATGGTTCTATAAGGCCACTTTTCTATTCCCAGGTATGCGGAAATTCGCCTGAATAGATACTTCGAGTCAAAGGATGCATTTTTGAGTACCTAAAGTGCGAGGATGACTCAACGACTCAGTGATATCATACTATACCGTTTGTTTGATATACCTACTAGAAGTACAAAGCTAAGCTACCTATTTTTTGTTATAATTAATTATGTGTAAATGTATATTATTTTATTTTTAATAAAGAATTAAAACACATATCCGTTTGGTTTTCTTGTTTGATTTGTAGAACTTAAAGCTATAGATTTCTGCGCCATATTCTTTTTATAATACAATTGTTTTACTATGTGACATGTAATTGCAATACAGTTCATAAAAATATGAATAGAATAGAATCTCAGTAAGGAGGTTTCTTGTAACCTTATCTTCTAAAAATCAAGAAAGGATAAGAAAAATTAACGATTGTACTCTTATATTATAGAAACAAATCTATACGAATATATAATGCTGAAGAGTTTATTTGTTTGTTTGAACGCACTAATCTCGGGAATTACAGGTTCAAATTGAACAATTATTTTGTGTTCGTTAGAGCATTTATCGAGGAAAGCTATAGTCTATATATAGCTAGAAGATCGTCCTGTGACTAATACAAGCGAAGATACAGCAAGAAATATGGAAAAAAATGGGAAAATTACTCATCGTGGTTAACATCTAAGTTTATAATTACGATAGGGATTGCAAAAACGAATTTAGATGCCCAAAATAACGATTCTCGTGGATGAAGTGTACGCTGTCGTAGTGTTAGGGATATTTGTACAGCCTTTCGAAGTAGTTTTCCGCTCGTAATTTTCAATGGCACCATAAACTAAAGCTGACGACATTCGCATATTTACATGTCAAATTATGTAATACACCTACAAAGACGTGTCGTTTGTATGCTCGTTCGTTATCTCGCATGATGCAAGACGGTTCACTGGTCCAGTCAAATTTCAAGTTCGTAAGTTAGGCCACGCCGGGCTTTTCCGATGAAAGTACAAAGCGAAATTGTGTATCAACATATATGTATCAATTTATAGCCACTGGCATAAATAAAAAAATCTTGCAAAAGTTTCTGGTTTGTGAAAAATATCAGTGGTAGGTATACCTACCTATTACGGTACGAAGGTTTATATCTATAATTGTACCTAAACTCTTTGGAATACATTTTATTAGTAACGTTTTTATTATGGTTTGTAATAACGTCATTAGTGTGTCAATTTTGTTAAGCAATATATAAATCTACTAGAATAAAAATCTATCTAAATCGGACTAAGGGAAAATTGATTAAATATTTTAAAAGCCTTTTCCTGAAAATGGGAAAACATTTCGGTGAATTGGCGTTTATTCGTGGTATAATCTACTACTCCTTGTCACCCCATGAGATGAAACCCTATGCGGGAGCATTTAAGGATGGCATACCCAACTTTATTACCCGAGGTCTCAACAGATGTTGGACGTGGTTTCCTCGTTAGTATCGTTATAAACTGAATGAATACATTCGTTTAAAAATATCATATACATTAAATATCTATAAGATTAGTACTTACACCGGCATCAACAGCGTTTCGTAATGCTGCTCAAACTAATCGACGCAGGACACAGTAGCCTAATTGTTTAGAGCAGCAGCACCAAACGCCTCTGATACCAGTTCAAGTCCTACGCGCGTTTGAAATTTTGTTCTTTTTAGGATGTTAACAATCCTTACTGTTTACTTACCATATTTATATTATTTTATTATGGCTTTAATATTTTTTTTAAAAACGAAGCGATAATGACAATATTCTAAGAACTGCCTGAGGGATATTTTTCTACGAACTGGGGAATACTCAGTTGGGAAGCTACTGAGAACTGCGTTAAGCGCGAGAAGAACACCGGATTCGACACCTAAAAAATAGACACTTGTTACGATCAGACAGATGATAGGGCAAGGCGTAAGGTTGACGTGATAAATAACTTTTTTCAGAACGTAAATACAGTTCTTTGCGAGTGTTTTTTGTTCTATTTTATTATCTATTTTAGCTGGTCGACAGAGATTGATGACGAATAATGTTTTGTCTTACTATGTGACTATAATTAATATATAATTTACAGCATTCGCATTAGGTTATCTCACGTATACTGGTGTTGAGTCGTCTTACAAGGCACGCCAAAGGAAAAATCCAGATGACTACATTAACGAGGTTGATCCGAACGCTTAACAATTTTATACTAAGTCTTATAACATATTTGTACTTAAAACTAGATTTTTTGGAATACATAATAAACCTTGGACGTAACTGTTCTGGAAGTTTAATATTATTTTAGTAGAAATAAACTGTCTGTAAACTTGTATTTTAATAGTTCGTCTTCATTCTTTCGGATTTGAGCTGTTGAACTAGTGTCAAACGAGAGGCAATTTGTTTCTATGGGCCTTGGGATAAAAAATGTTTCATATTATTCGAAGTTAGTGAAGCGAATGTATTGTTGTTTTTGTATTAAAGATAAATTTCTTTACACCCATTGTTGACGTTATCCAAAACAACTACAAAATAAGCCTTGGGTGGTATAGCATTCTAGACATTCCAAGGCCACGTTACAGTTGAATAATTCGTCTCTTGTCCTTTTTTATATTGCCCTTAAACAAGACCACGAGTTTTTGTTTATTGCGTCGAAGAGATGGTTGTACAAAAGTAGTTTCTTATGATAACGGATTACAATGTTTGACGAGAGCTAGTCCATGTATCCCCTAAGTTTTGTACCAAAGAATTTACACAGGTGAAAATAAATATGATATGATATGTGGCCTCGACTAAAGGAAAAAAAACGAAAGAAAGCCAGGCACTGATTAGCAACGCGATATGGCTAATTTAGACACACTGGAAATTATTTAAGGACTGATAATGATAAATCAACGTGTACGCAGCACTTACCCCACATGTATTTTGTCAAGATTAGTAAAAAACTTGAAAACTTTATTATTTTTTACATGTTATTGCACATGGAGGCACTATATAATTTAAAAATTGAAAAAATTTTCGACTCGGGCACGACTTGAACCGGCATCGTCAGAGCAACAGCACGGAACGCTGACAATGCCGGTTCAAGTCCTGCCCGAGTCGAATTTTTTTTCAATTTATTTTCGAATTTTAAATAGTAAAAAACTTACTAAATTAAAACACGAACAACAAATACGACACGGGCGGAACTTGAACCGGCGTCCTCTCTGATTGTATCTGCAGTATTGTAGAAATCTTTGACGAAAAAAATGTAATTGACTACGACTGGATTTATTTGTACATAAAAAAAAATATTTATTTGTATATTATGCTATGCCATTTGAGTCGTAGAAGAGTTCAAGTTATGATCATCGTTCCACAAGTAGTTGTCAAATAGTAAAATGAATTTGTGCTAAGCGCGCGAACCTCGGGAAAATTAAGTCTCAGACAGGACACAAGTCTGATCAACGACTTGCAAGGGAGTTACGTTTGTATTACGGGATTTCGCTAACACGAGGATTATAATAAAAAGCAGACTTTTGTTAAAATTTCTTTACTAAGCTTTTAACATTAAGAATGCACCTGTGTAACACGAAAATGGTTCAACCATTAATATATATTGTACAAAGTAGGCCAAAGGAACCTGAAAGCACATTTGGCAGAACTGAACCAAGTCAAGCAAAAGTAATAGGTAATACGAACGAAAATGTACAACTTTTAAGATAATTTTAAAGAATCTGGAATGTTACTTCGCTGCTCTGATTGATAGCAATAATTATAAGATTATTCTCTTTTATGCTGATGTGCATAAACATTTATCAGCACAAGGTGTGCACCAAAAGCCACTTGAGGTGAGCATAGTACATAGGTAGAACACAATGTTAAATCTATTACAGGCACACATTAGTAAGTCGTGACATTAATAGTGACATTTCAATTTTCGCTATACGTATAATTAAAATAAATTATTTATAGGATAAACCAAATTCATATTTTAAGCAACAAAATTTTATTTCACTAATACCCATACAAGTAAATAATCATTTCTCGCTTTATCACAATGCACAAAGGAGGTACACGTAAAATGCATAATGTTACCAAAAATAAAGTGGTATTAATACTATTATTATGTGTTAAGTTGAATTAGAAATGCGCTAACATTACAAAATTCAGTGGCGACTCACGTTACGGAAAATACACGAGTGTAAATATGTCGCAGCCAAAATAAATATTGACTAAATGAATATTAACTATGTTTACTGCAATATTATATTCACACACCCATAGGACTAAGTAATAATAACACGCTAATTATGTCTTAGGGGATCAGTGCACCATATGTTTATTATTAATTATATTTTAATAATTACAAGATCGATGAGAATAATTGTCATACCAATATTACGTGAGCAGAATTGTGTTAAGCATTGGAATTTTAGCATAAAATGAATAAAACAAATAAAATTGGAAATTTACATATTTCCGAAAACGGATGGGTAGTTAGTTATAATTCGTTATTTGCTTACGTAATATTCAAACGACTCTAAAGTTGTTAAAAGAATATGATAGGAAATGGACAGAGATTCAGGTAATCTGCACTTATATGAAAATCATGGATACTTTCAATGTGGATGGATTTATTATCTATTCCTATGGGCATAATTCATGTGAACATGTCATATATCTGTTGATACACGGACAACTTGGTACAAAAACACTTGTAAATAAAATATTATTAATTTTGTTCGTTTCACAGGGTTATTAAACAATAATATTATGACAAAAATCTGGAATAACGTTTAAAATAACTGTACTTCCTAAACAAACACGACGTTAGGGTTAAGTGAGACTTTTCTATGTAAAACGGCAGATGGAGTTGTTCATACTATTAATGGTTTTTGACAACTTCAGGTTGGTAATGTCATATTTTTCGAATGTTGTACAGTAATTCTAGTGATCATGACGACATGTCATTAGTGGTACCCATAAAATATGAGGTAAACAATAAGAAAGTTTGTCAAAAAACATTAATAAAATTTACAACATACAATTGTATAGTTACACAATGTGTTCGGGGCTGTTGTCCGTGGGTGTATAGCTTCACTGCTCACTCGACATCCATCTGTTCTTGGGAGGCGGGCGGCTGATCCTGCGCCGGCGCAGCCTGGCCGTCGCCTGCCGTGTTGCTTGCTGGCGGTGGGGTCTTCTCCTTCGGCTTCGGTTTGTTAAGGATCGGGTTTACAATATTTTCAAAACTCTGGAAAATATACATCATGAAATGAAATGATTGATGTACAAATAAATACATGATATTTATTTTCGCCTCGTATCTTCAACGGAAAACATTTATTGCATGGCAAGATAAATGTTTTAGTTGAATTCCAGAGGTTACGAAATTTGACAACTTATATTTTTCTTAGTATTGTAATGTTTTACTTATTTCCTTATCCGGACTATATTACATGAATTTATTTATATTAGTACGTACCTGTCTCTCTTGTCGAATCTGGTGGGTCGTGTGTGGGGGAGGCTGGTGCAGTGGTGCATGCGCAAGAGCCTGTCTCGCGTTTTCGAGCCAATTGAGCGCGTTCTTACTTGCCTCGCACACTTTACCGATTTCAGCTTCCGTCAAATGCTCATACCGTTCCTCGCCAGCTCTAAAAAAGTTATTACATTATTATAATTCTGCAATTATAATAATTTTTTAAGATGTTTGTTATATAATAAACAAAAACATAGTTTGTCCGCACATATAACGATCAATATATAATTGTAGAGGACAGATATAAAAAAACAATAAATTCTTTCTGCCCTTTCATCTAGACTGAACCAAAAGAATTACATACCACTAGTTCTTACAGAGGCTAATTATATGTAAGTAGTCTTTACCTGTATTGATCTACCGCTTTGTTTGTCAACTGTATGGATAGCGCGAAGTCGTCTAATGCGCCGGGGCGTAGTTCGAATTCCAAACGGCGCTGTTTGATCGGTTCACCCTCTGTTCTTAATTCCGCTAATTTATCACTGTACACCTGTTAGATCAAATAATTAAAATAAAAAAATGATGAAATCGAATAACAAATAATGGTTTACTTTCGTTGTCCTTTATGTGTCTATTTTGGTACAATCACTAAAAGCCAATGATGTAATTATTAAAAACAGATTTGATTATAACTACGTACTAGTCCACTTAACCTCAATTATTGCAGATGTACCTGTCTGTTTTGATCTTCCCCTTCGTCGTAGAGCCATTGTTCAAGAGAGTCGAGGTGTGCCACAAGGCGCGAACGCTGGTCCTCAGCGATAAAGTCATGCAACACTTCGCCATCTGACAACTTGCCCCGCAGCTCATACACATACTCCTCCAAGGCGTTTCGAGCATCTGCACGCTCCTTCTCTTGTCTATCCTGGGCTTGCATCTTGCCCTGTAAATAATTTTCCTTTTATTAAAATCTTTTTATTTAACAATTAAATTGTGGTTGAAATAACACTAAGACTAAGATGTCTAAGAAAATTTTAGATGTTTGCATTTTTTAGAAATTATATCCTAAGAATTATTAAATTGGTATCACCAATAAGAGCCGAAAGTATTTACCTCCTGTTCCGAGAAACTGTTCACCTCGGTCTGGGAGTAACCGTGCGTTCTTGAATCAATCGGCAACTCGATAGTCTTCACAATGACCTTCTTCTTTTCCTTGGACTTGTCCTTTTTATCATCAGCACCCTCCTGGAAATTATGGCAAAACCATTTATACCACAAAACATTTGGCACTTCCCCACCATCACACTGGCCCGGATGGTCTATACATTTTCAGCGGCCACTGACATATCCAAGCCGTGTGATGACCCATTTGCACCTACATTACCGCCACCACAAGCGAAAATACGCAACCCTACATCCGTTCGGCTGCCATAAACAAAACACAAAACAAATTAAACAACTGCAGGAGAACAAAAACATGCGTGGACACAGAGACAAACCTTGTTATATTGCAAGTCTTCAAGTTATTTTCGAGACCTTCAAAATGTTCGTAAATCTGTGCAAATGGGGCCTCCAATGAGGGTGGGGAAGGTTTAACGTTGTGGTGCCTGTTGCTTTTCTCAAAAAACGCTACAGAATTGAGATTACACTCTCCAGTCAATGAAGAGAAAAATATAAAAATAAATGTAAATAAACTTTTTTTCTAAATGCATGCCAAATTTATAGCTCTATCAAGGAACACCTGGTCAGATAAGACATGACTAGATCCAAAACAGCACTACTGAGCATTATATGCAACAGACACCACACAAAGTCCACAAAGGCAGCGAGCGACACATACCCCGCTGAACCACTGTCCTACTTTCTGTGTCCACGATTGTTTTTGTTGAGGCTCCCCTTTCATCTCATCTTCTCTCACCTCTTGATTGTCAGGTCCATTCTGTTGGTTCTCCTGACTGCCATTAGTGTCCATAGGTGTTTCTTGACCAGTTGGATTTGGTACATTTTCGTTAGAATTCTCCATTTCAACATTGTCAGTTTGTGAATCTTGTTTTTTCTCTACCAAAGAAGCTGATGCGACTGTGATAATTCCGTGAATGTTCACTCTGACTTTCAGTTTCACTTTCTGCGATTCTCCTTCTGGTGTCGGTTGTACATCCTTAATGTTCCATTGACCTAAGTTATAAATCTTATTTAGAAAATGTGTCATAATGTAACAAAACTAGAGAAAATCAATTAAGAACTTACCAATGAATGTGTCAGGGTATGGTACTTGATCAGAGTAATAGGCGCTGACAGAGAAAGGTTCCCTTCGGTAGAATGTCAGCATTTTGGAGAATGGCGCAGCATGGAATGGTGGGAATACCTGTGTAATATAGTTCCGTGTTATTCTCGCTATGTTTACAATGTTATTGGCTATCAGTAATAAGCTAAAAGAACAAAAGTGTACATTACATCGAGTGTATATTATGTATTCACCAATAATGCGCATAATTTGTAGAAGCTGAGGGATTTGTTGAGCGTCATTCATATTATGTTTATACTGAGCAGCAATTACTCTAGATGTTTCTTACCTCCATATCGCCGTCTTCTCCACGCGCAGCATCCCACGCAAGACGCACTGCGTATGGCTGCACATCAGTTACGTTAAACTCGCGAACGCGAACTGCTGGACTTAGCATTGCGCATTGCAAGGCACAGCCACGCGACACTGCTTCATCCTGAAAACAAACATCACACGTTTAACGACATTCAATACTCTTAACGGTTTAAAACCCGATATGTTAGCTAAATTTGGTATAAATGTATGATGACCACGACCCGACGTTTTGGCCAAGGATGGCTTAAGTGTTATAAAGTTATTTAAATATATTATCTTAACGGTTCATTCTTTGAAGTAAATCTCTAAATAAATAAGCAGTAATAATATATTTTCTGCTATTTTAGTGACCTTTATCTAATTTTATTAGTGACTTTGAACCTTTTTTATGTTTACACTTTATAGTATTTTCAGCATATCTTACCTGATTGAGTGTGGTAGAGGGAATTTTACCAAACACTTGTTCTATCAATCCCTTGACAGCTGGAATTCTTGATGAGCCTCCAACAATCTCTACAGCGCAAATATCTTCTGGTCTTAGTTCTGTAACATTTATAATTATATTAAAATTTCTAATATAAGTAAAAAAAATGTTTTTTATGCTATAGGAGGTATACAAGCGGTTTGCTTGATGGTAGGTGAAATATCTAAACAAGGTGCAGTGTTGACCTATTTTCGATTTGGATATTCGATTTGAATAATGTCTGTCCCGGTGGGGATCGATCCCACTACCACTTGATGAACGAGCCCTTCAGAATTGAACAGAAGAATGTTATATAGCTCAGCATCAGACTCCTTAGCAAAACGCAAAACCTATAAACATGTCTACATACTGGCATTATGCAGGATATTTCTTAAGGTTCGTTCAACATGGGTGAAGGTTTCAGTGCAGATTTGCTCCATTTGTGCACGCTGCATTTCACCAGACACATCTCGCTCTTCCATGAAGCACTCAATATTAAGCGGTAGACGAGTGCTGTTTGCTGACATTTGCTTCTTGAGCTTCTCAACTTCTTGCATCAGTCGAAGGTATGCTCTGTATTACAAATTAACATAACTTGAATACTGAGTAGGAATTTTACATTGTGTTTACACTATATAAAAATATGAATATGAAGAAATTTGTTTTGACTTCTTAAAAGGTATTTTTAAAGTGTAATGAATACATAAAATATGCATTATAGATATTCATAAAATTAAAACATCACAACTTATAATCAGAAATTGTGATCGAAGGTATAATCATACCTTTGATTTTTTTTGGGATCCAGCTTATATCTTGTCATGAAATCTTGACAGAAATAGTCAGCAAGTGCGCTGTCTATGTCACGACCACCACAGGAAGGGTCTGATGATGTAGCGAGTATGCGCAGTTTGCCCTTATTGAACGCGCAAGCAGCGACCTGTAATACAAGCAATACTTTATCTATACTAACATATATGAAGAGTCTGTTTGTTTGAACGCACTAATCTCAAGAACTACTGGCTCGAATTGAAAAAATATATTTGTTTTGGTTAGAACATTTATTGAAGAAGGCTATGCGCTTAAAATATTGTGCTGTAACTAATGGACTGAAAGAACAACGGGAAATGTAAAAAAAAAGGGGAAAATTCTTCATCTTTATGGGTTCCGATGCATTCACTGCTAAAACGATTCAAGATACTTAAATAATTTGTATATAAAAATGATTCATCTATAAATGATCTAAAAAAAATCCGCGGACTATATATCTATATTTAAATATTAACATGCAAGAACAATAGAACGTGACCGATGTATACATATAAAATAACTATTGTATGGCGACGAAGTCGCGAGCATAGCAGCTAGTTAATTTATATATTTTGCATTTATATTAAGGCATTATTTATAGTTCTAATAATTTTATATGAAGCATGATATAATTGTGAAGAAATACCTGAAGTGAAGCATGTCCAAAGTCCACAAACACAACATTTCGAGACTTCTCCTCTGGAGCAGGTAAATCTTGCTTATAAATACCATATGCTAAGGCTGTTGCAGTTGTCTCATTCATCAAACGCAGTACATTAAGGCCTGAAAAAAATAACATTATATAAATTAACTATCTCTGACTAAATCTTTTATGATTTTCTAGATCTTAGAGGTTGCCAATTATTTACTCCAACACCCCTAAGTTACAAAGACTCAATGAAACTTGATAACTTTTTTAGGTTACAATATAAACTTTACTAAGTTAATACTTTTGCAAAGCAAACCAAAATTGTTTATATAAAATATTTTAACTTTAATATATATAACAACCAAATTTATATCACCACTCCTCTGAAACATTTTATCACTCACAGGGCAGCAATCCCCATCTAGAGTAATCAACTGTTCTAAGCAAGAACCGAAGTATATATATTATATTTCATTGTAAGAATTATTTCTCACAGTTTGGAACTATATCTATTTCACATAGTATTCAACTAGCACTAATTATTGATTACTTATTGTATTATTCAGTTATATGCCTAGAGTGGTATCAACTAGCTCTAAGGTCAAGGTTAGTCTATAGTAAGTTGATACAAGGGCACCAGCTTATTTTGATTGTTTCCATTTACAGAAATCAAACTAGGTTCTAAGCATTACATTCATTTTCATATAAGGTCAAGATATTGAGTAGAATGTCTTAGCATATTTAGATGTTTTATGTTACTATATGTACTAAAAACAACAAGCTTCGAAATCATCTGACTTTGTTATACATACCTGCAATAGCCGCAGCATCAAGCAGAGAATTTCTCTCTGCATTTGTGAAATAACTAGGCACAGATATAACACAGTCGTTGATCGGAGTCTGTAAAGCAATGGCTGCAGACTCTCTTAGTTTTGTAAACAGCATTGCAGTTATCTGAAAAGAAAAAAAATCCAATAGGTTTGTTTCAAAATAAAATCAAATAGAGAATGTATTATTTATATTACATTTTAAGTGAACTCCTATTGCACCTCATTGGGCATGGGACGAACATATATTTGTGTTTGTTTCCCAGATAGATTTTTTTACAGGCAATTAGTTGATCGACTTCTGTGCCCTTGGATTTGAACCAAGACTTATCATGCTTCACTAAATGGTAGGTCTTTTAACCATTTAGCTAAAGAGGCATACAATTTATACACATTATTTCATAGTTAATACTTTAATAAATGTGTATAAATAAATGTATCTTAAAAACAATTTACATTGCTTTAAGATATTTTAAAATGTATATTTAGCAAATAGGCTTGAACTTGAAGTAAATTGTAGCTCTAATATTTAAATTTCTTAATCTAATAATGAATTAAAATGCATACCTGTTCAGGACTAAAGACATTATCTTCACCTAAATAATTGACCCGTATGCCAATACCACCATCAGGCCTCGGTTCCACTTTGAATGGAAAATGTTTTAACTCCTTTTGAACATAGGGGTCTGAGAATTTCCTACCTAATAATCTCTTGAAACCAAATACAGTATTTTTCATGTTTGTAACCATTTGATTTTTGGCAGCTACACCTAATATACGGTTCTTTGGTGAAAATGCCACACATGATCTGAAAATATACGATATATATCAAACTTTCAAAGAAAAATACGTTTAGGGAGCAAGTATCCTGAAGTACAGAAAATCTTATTACATCAGAATATGCATGTCATTGAGGACTGTTTCGAGATCTCTATCTTTATAGTGTATTTTATACTCTAATATTCTAGGTTTATTTAAATGGCAAGGGGTTATAAGATTGGTTATTAACAGTGCCTAGTTTGCTATAGATTAAAGTATAGAAAATCTACTTACGGAGTACCTCGTAGGCTGTAATCATTAGCTATTGTCTCAATGCCACCTGCTTTTGCCACAGCAATATAACAAGATTCATTACCGAAATCAATACCTATTACTGACATCGCAGCCATTTTTTGTTGTTATTAACTGTATTGTATGAGGTATATTCACAAAAAAACTGTAAATTGAATTTGTGAAAACACGTTGTTTTAGGCTGACAATTAGTCAGTTGGTCGCAAAAGAAACGCCGGCTTCATACAGAACACTTCACTTCACTTGAGAAAACTGACCAAACGATTTTTCGCTATACGCTAATGACAGATTCTATCCGCTACCCGAATTTTCTAGAACAACAGATATTAAGTAACAAATGACAGTCTTTTGACATAGGAGTTCTTCTTCTTTCTAACAAGATTTAAAAAATATTCCTTTCTATGGACAGGACACTCACCACTGTGGAAGAATAACAATATTTTAGTATTGTTTTCTAATGATAATGTATATAATAAATACGATCTCAAATCAAAACGTTGTATAATTTATTGGTGTAGGGTTCTTATTAATATGTTATCTCAATTTAAGGTATTAATTTATCTGTGGTCACCAGTTTGAAAAACTTATTCTATAATCTATATTTTTTGTTGGAAAAGGAAAACATTGATACGTGATTAATATTTGATACATTATTTTTAGCGCCTTTTATTTAATTTTCTTCGCTATAAGTGTTTGCCGAAGTTTTCAATATTCAAAAGGTAATAAGGCAATATATATATGATAGACATTATACATTTACAAAATTACAAAAATTATAAGATGCAGAATACTACTACTACTACTTGAAAAGGTTATCGCATGACGAAACAGGCGACCACGACAGTAAATTCCTTATACTGAATTACGTTATTGCAAGTCGTCAGGGTCACCTTCACGCGGTAACCATTAGCCAATCAAATCTCCAATACGAACGTAGTATTTGTGCTCTAATAAATTCACTTGTAATATTTATATTTATTACAGCTTTCTAATCAGTATGAGTGGAGAACCGCAAGCTAAACGAACGAAAATGTCTTCCTTGGATCAATTAAAACAATATTCAACAGTTGTCGCCGATACCGGTGATTTTGAAGGTTAGTCCAACTTTTCTTAATAGATTCCTTAAGTCTTACTTTACTTATAAATATTAATATCTACTTTTTTTTAAGTCTATCTTTGACCTCTATTTTTTAGTAGTAAGTGAAGTAATATTGTGATTTATTTTTAAGTAATTATTCTGGAGAATGACGATAATGATTATTAAGTATTAGAGAAAGATATATGTATTAAGCTTGGCACTTTTATGATAGGTGCAGACATTTGAGAGCAATCTCTTTTTGTAATTTCACCAGTTTTTAACTTGCTGAAATTTATGTTTTCTTGATTTTACAGCAATGAAAGCTTACAAACCTACTGATGCAACTACAAACCCTAGTTTAATATTGTCCGCAGCGGGGATGGAGCAATATCAGCATTTATTAGATAAAGCTATTAAATATGGCAAGGATTGTGGAGGGTGTGTTGGATAAGTTCTTTTAACATTTTAATTAAACAGAACCTTTCTCCCTTTGCGGGCATGGAGCAAAATTCTGAGCCCTGCCCATCAAAAGCCACCATTCAATTTGAAGAGTTTCTCCAGAATTTAAATTCAGGAAATCATTGTAAAAGGCAGCCATGTTTGCTGCATGATATAACAAATTTTTTCCTTTAATGTGTGTTAGTCATACTTTACATATATCATTTAATAGTTTGTAAAGAACAACATAATAAGTTATTAAAAAAAATACATTTTATGCATATTTATGCTTACTAAAACGTTCTTAATAAAACATCACCTTGGAAGTAATAATTTAAAAATAAAAATTTAGTTCATGATAAACCTGTCCAAAGACATTTTCCATATACCTTAGATTACGTTTACTGACTATTACCTTATTTTCAGATCAATAGAAGAACAATTAGTGGAAACATTGGATATGCTTAGTGTACTATTTGGTTGTGAAATCCTGAAGATTATACCTGGAAGGGTGTCTGTTGAGGTTGATGCTAGGTAAATATATAATAAAATAAATAATTACTGATTAGAATGACTTAGTTAGTCTTCTTTAACACATAACAAGCAATTAAAGTCTGATGTGCAAAGTTAGAGAGAAGACTAAAGGAAAAGATTAAATAAATGAGGTTTCTAATTCAAATCTGCATATGTTTGATTCTAGATTTAGTGACTTTTATATTAAAAAAAATTAGTTAATTTAAATTTTTTTAATGTTAGATTGCTGTCGTAAGTACTGATTTTATCTTACAGATTATCTTTTGATAAGGATGCTAGCATGGCAAAGGCCATTAAATTTATTGCAATGTTTGCTGAGCATGGTATTAAGAAGGAAAGAATTCTCATTAAGCTAGCATCCACGTGGGAAGGGATCCAAGCTGCTAAGTATGTCATAAACTAATTACCTTCCCCACACAAATAGTTTATCATGTATCTTGCAGAATGTGGTAGATGGTTAAAATGTTTTGAAATGTTTATTTGTTGCTATCACAACAGTTAATAAAGAAGAGAAAAATTAATTTAACTTATATATACATAAACTTAATTCTTAATAATTGTAATCGTCGATACAACATTGTTTTAACACATAAATTATGTTTTTAGGGAGCTGGAGAAGAAACATGGTATTCATTGTAATCTCACTCTTTTGTTTTCAATGTATCAAGCTATTGCTTGTGCTGACGCCAACGTTACTTTAATATCACCATTTGTGGGAAGGATATTGGACTGGTAAGCTTTTACTTTTTTTTAACCACATTCATTGTTGATCTATTTATATAATACAGTGAGTTTTGTTTTGCGCAAACCCGACCTGTAAAAATTAAATCAATAAAATATATCGTTGGTTTTGAAACTAATTTCAACTCGAACAAAGTACTGTTTAAAATGTTCATGTTTGTCTAAGGTTAGTATCTATTAACAGGCAAATTTCAAATAACTTCACAACACTATGTATTACATAATATATTGACTTCATTAAAAAAGAAGTAAGTAAAACTGTAAACAATCTTTGTTTCTTATCTCATAAATAATTTAGAAGGCAAACAAAAATTCAAAATGCTAAAAAGTATAATTATTTTTAAAATTTACCTATTTTTTAAAAAAATGAATTGAAAAAAAAAACACTTAATAGCATATCTGACGCCACTAGAGACAGAGTAGCCTAGTTGCATAATTTATGACTTCTATTTTCATAGAAATTTTAATCTACAAGAGCACAGTGACCGAAAATTGTTAACATATTTTTTTATAGAAATTATAGTACAAATTCATTTTTGCCTAAGTTAATTGCGTATTTTTATTTTCCTCCTTATTAAAAATCTCTGCCTCGTGCAGCCTCATATATCTTTAAATATATTTGTGTAAATTCAGGTACGTCGAACACACTAAAAAGACATACGCGGCTACAGAAGATCCCGGCGTGTTATCTGTTACCCGTGTCTTCAATTACTATAAGAAGTTTGGCTACAAAACCCAAGTGATGGGCGCATCATTCCGCAACACGGGTGAAATCCGGGAACTGGCTGGCTGCGACCTGCTCACCATCAGCCCAAAACTTCTACAGGAACTGGCAAATAGTCAGGATCCTATCAAAATGGTAAATTTTATTTTCCACATAACCTTAGTTATAAAGCCTTAACTTCAATTATGATGATGGAAGATTCAGCAGAAACATTAGCAGTATTAGTTTACTATATGATATGTATAAATGCTAAACCACAATAGAGTGGTGAGATATCGATTTTTATCATATTTCGTTACACACACATAATTTATTTGAACTGAGTTTCCGAATAAATTTTCTCATTAACGACTTTTTGCAAGCCTAAAGGCAAATTTTTCTTGTGCTACTAATTGACTTTCTCAATGTACTATTCATTTCCGGTTAGGAATATCGTATTGTTGAGATACATATTTTTTGGGTATTTTGGGTTTTGACAAAGTAAAATAAAAAGTTAATCCATGTTTCATCTTGTTAATCTGTTTCTTGGGCCATCTGAAGCTTTGTGACGAAACTATCATGTTGACTATATATAGTCATACCTAGTCTTTCGCGTACATTAATTAGTAATTAAAAATTTATTCCATTGTCAGGTACTAGACCCGAAGGTAGCCGCTGAATGTGACTTGGAAAAGATAACGCTAACCGAAGCCCAGTTCCGTTGGCACCTCAATGAAGACCAAATGGCAACTGACAAACTCTCAGATGGTATCAGGAAATTTGCGGCCGACACAAGGAAACTGGAAGCTTTGATTAAAGGAATGATGGCGCAGAAGTAAACGCCAGCAAGGAATTTCTTTTGACAATTTTACATTGACGTTCTATGGTGCATTTTATATATTTAGGTCAAAAATAGAAGAAACTATTAGGTCTAGGTGCAGTTTAAAATAAGGTAAAAGAGGGCCCATATTTTTGCATTCCTGTTTGTTTTATATTTTTACACCACAATATGGTTATGTTAATAAAAATGTACTTATCATATATATTTTTTAATCAAATAAACCTCAATATGTCATATTAAGTCCTTAAAAAAATAAACCCAACCCTTATACGTTTGTTATATATACGTGTTTTTCTTACTAACGCGTGGAGAGTTATAAGAATAAAATAATCGATTAAAATTAGCTTAAATGCGTGTGGTACAAATTTTTTAAAACACTTTAAACGGTTGAAAATAGTAAATTAATCTTCAACGACGACGAAAACTCACATCAGTGATTGGTATTTTTAATGTTAGCGAATGCAACAGATTTTCCGCTCGATGTGATGCATAGAAGGAAGTCGCGCACGGCGCTTAGTCGTTCGTTCGCAATCAATACTTCCACTTCACCGACCTACCGTACCCTATCGCCGCCCGCCTAAGCATTGCAATTTAGCATAATGTATGCATGAAAAATGCCCTTGACATATTTTCCTGCATACGTAGTAAAATCGTAGCACTATTTTCTTCGAACATCATTTATTTCGAAGTAAACCTAATATACAACATACACAATAATAGCAAAAATCAATGAAACTGATTATTTATGTAGCGGTTGTCTCGCGAGAAACGCATAAAATATCACTTATTCTTAAATAAATAAACCGACTTATAATGAACTAAATGTGTTTGCGACGTCGTTCGCGTACCATCGTTCTTGCAAGTTAAGCCTTAAATGATTTTTTTTTAAACATTTTCCATTATTTATTATTGGTAGCAACGTGATGCCTAAAGTTTTCCTTGTAAATAAATAAATAGTCTATACAAGACAAAAATATTTTTTTTAAACTCAGAACTGTTGTTCCTAAGATTAGCATTTAAACAAAGTCTTCAACTTAGTAATAGTACTAAATTATCCCGTCCTACAGATGTCGGGCTCAGAAAATAGTGAAGATTTTATTTACAAAGCCTTGTTTTCACTTTGTAAATAAAATAAACGTTCAAATCTTTAATAAAAATATATATTGTTACAACAACTCCTCTGGTCCACTTGTTACGGCTCGAGTGGTATAAAACGGAAGAATTCTAAATATTTCACTTGTGAGTTAATTACAATCCGTACATGCTGTTTGAATTTTATCGTATTTAAATATGGTTCAATTAATCGTATTTCACTCAATATAGTCAGATCTAATAATAATATCTTATTGCAAACGTTTCCCGTATGTTTGTGGAAACTGCGTATGTTATATATTAGGAAGTACAGATGTGTTATAATTTAGTTAATTATCAAGTGTACGAGAAGTTAAAGCAATTCGTGCTAAGCATATAGCAAAAATATGTTATTTACGCAATGCAACTGCATAAATATAAATCACCAGAACAATAAAAATCTTTTCGAAAGTTTTCAACGACGAAACGATATAAGCACATTGTTAGTGCTCCGAGGGCCATCTCCATATGGTTAACGTGTGAGAGGCTGGAGTGACGGTCCAAGACGGGGTAGCCGAAGGGTGCGCGGCAGAGGAGGCTTGATATTGACCTAGATGTTCATTCAGAGTTCGGTCGATGCGAAACTTGACATCTGCGCGCTCCTGCGTTTCGTATTTTTCAATTTAATGTACCTTCGGTTTACGCGAACCTTTCCCGTATTAAAATTCACTTTAAACATAATGTAATCGCGTACAATACAATCTCGATCTAATCAATTATTGTTATGTTTTCCGAGATCAGCGTGCTCGAGTGATTTTCGATACCATGAAGAGCATGTTTAAATTAAAGGAAATCGTGTAACAAATGCAATATGGATAGCCGGAAACGATCTAAGACATCAATTTCATCTGTGACGAAAAATTTTACTGATATGGACAACGCAAACTCAGATGTGAGTATATTATGTAATTTACTGGCTGATCAAAAACAGTCGTCAAAAATTAGGTAGCGGTTGTTAATAATTCACATTATCTTTAATTTTAATTAAGCTAAGCATTTTACATATTCCTATTTTTTTTTAATATTTTTAATACGACAAAAAATATGTTACTTCTATCCAAGTTAAACAATTATCTTGTCTAATCTTCTATATATTTAAAATTCAATTCAATAAATCTTTAAATCCACCTAAAAACAAACAAATCTAGTTAGGTACTGTATTTTTTATGCACATTTGTACAATATTTTAACAGTGCAGAGAAGTGATGCTAAGAGACCAAATTCCTGAAGAAACTGAACCGGAGAGAGGGAATTGGACTGGGCGTTTTGATTTTCTCCTATCACTCCTGGGGTACAGTGTGGGACTTGGGAATGTGTGGAGGTTTCCCTATCTATGCTATAATAATGGAGGAGGTACGCTTTACTGTTTTTCAGTTACCACTTTGTAACTTTGCCTGTAAATTATTTTAATTATTAATTTCGCAAGTATTCTACGTTTTTTTAAACATGACATTAGCCATTTCTGGGTAGCCATATTCGTTCGTAGGTATATTTAGCGGTACCGAAATTTAAGATTTGCGTATTCTAGAATTAAGTTTGCCCGAGATAATTCTCTCATGTAAAAAATAATATTTTATTGTTGACGACACACAGACCACAAACCTTGTATGACATGAAATATTTTGAACATACTTTATCTGAACATACATTCATCGCTTATTACAAATTTCTCACAATGTAATTAAACATGTTATTATTATTTCTTATTATCTCTTGGAGACATCACGGCCCTTTGATCAGTCCACACAGTATTACAAGTTACTTATTTCCTCGTTTGTTTTTTTTGTTTTGTGTTTGGATATTCGGAAATGCACAGACTGTGACCGAAAAACGATTAAACTAAACTTGACTTTTTCATCTGTGGACAGTAGTTCACGACCCGGACGAAATTACGTTATTCCTACCAACAATGTAAAAACCAGGTTTCCAGGAAGAAATTACATGTTTTAGTAGAATTATAAATTGATTAGTAACATATTGGACCCGGTGGGGACCGAACCCACGACCCGTTGATTATTATTAGCCGTGCATTGTTACAATCAGTTAAACATATCCGATAAGTTAACCTGTTAAAATGCAAAGAAAATGTTTACCTTTTTTAAGTTTTATACGTTTAGGACTTACTGCAATTACTAAACAAAAGAATGTTCAGCAATAGCAGTTGCATTCTCGAGTTCAATACGCGTTTAAGAAAACGTTTTATATTTCATACAAAACGCTTACGAGAAATATCGCAGCAAAGCACTTCACTTAATGGTCGGTTTGTGTATGAAAAATCTTTTCACAAACTTGTTTCTCTAAGATTCCTTTGTAATCGTCTTAAGTAGTTTTTTATTTTTCCCCATTCAACATGCCACAAGTGCTAAGTGGTAATTATCTATGCTGAGATTAAAACGAATTGAGAGTTAACACTTAACAAATAAAAGAGTCGTAATAAAATATTTTCGAGTTGATGCTATGATCAATGGCTGTAGCTTTTAAATCTCAGAGGACAGACATGAAGTAAAATTCTAAAGGCACATTTAATTAAAGAAGATGTGCTATTGACCTATTTTTGCTTTGCGACTTAGATTTTAGTTTAAAATATGGTTGTCATACTTGAACAATGTTTTTTATTATTATGAATGTGATAGATTTGAGTATTATAAATGAATCATATTATGACGATATAACACGGTTTTGTTTTATCTACGAGTTTTGTTTTGTTTTTATGCTTAAACCAGTGGTGGTTAAATTATTATAAACATACTGATGAAGTATGATAATTCAGATACTTCTATTAATGTGTTTAATGCCTTCTTGTTAATTTATTTGTTATTACACATAAACAAAAGATAATACACATACGTATATTCATTTATTAGTTACTAATGTAGTACGTTTTTTGATGCTCTAAACTACATTAACTTAAATAAAACACTTTAACGGTTTAAAACGCGATATATTCGTTATAACTAATACGTTTGTAATATGTTTTATTTAAATGTGTATTACTGGTGTAAACTATAGACAGTATTTACATTAACTTAAGTAAACTTTAGAGTTTACAAGCAAAGCAATGAAACAATTTTCTCAACTATTTTAGACTTTTAGTAAAAAGGAATATGGCTGAAACCGCGAAATATATTAGTTAACTTTACAATTTGTTGTGCTACAAGCTGTGTTCTAGTGGATAATGGTCTAATTAACTAATATATTTCGGATCTACTAATAAAACTAATATACTTTACGTATTAAAGTGTTTTTTTTAAAATGTGCACTCCGCGTCGTACTATTGGAATATAATTTTCTGTATATAGCTTAACATTTCTTTCCTTATATAAAACAAATCACGCTAAATAATTCAAGGTTTTCTCAACAAAACAGAACCATTAAATAATACCAACAATTTCTTTCAGGCGCCTTCCTTATCCCGTTCACGGTGATGCTTATAATAGCTGGACTTCCTCTCATGTTTATGGAACTATCCTTCGGTCAATATGCTGCCCTGGGTCCCGTCGCGGTCTACAACAGATTCTGTCCTCTATTCCGCGGCCTGGGCTACGGAATGGTCATTGTGTCGTCCATCGTCATGCTGTACTACAATTTAATTATTGCCTGGACTTTCTATTATATTTACGTTTCGTTCGTGAGCATCTTCTATCAATTGCCCTGGCAGAACTGCGACGCTGACTGGAGTACAGAATGTGAGTATTATAATTATATATAGAAGAGGTATTGTAGTGAAATTAATGAACACTTAATTTATTTGAGTTATATAAACAAAATTAACGGCTTAGATGCGAAATATATATGTTTTTTAATAATTGTAAATAAAATAACTAATATATATTTCGTGTTTGAAACCGTCAAAAGTATTCCATTTAAAACGTTTCGTTGATAAGATGACATTAAGAATAGACTTAGTAAATAATTTGTAATAATAGACTGTAATTATAAAATTCATTACATTATTAATATAACGTTTTGTATGTTTAAATCGTGTAATTATCAACAGATTTTGAAAAGAGAATATTACAGAGCCATTTTTTACTGGTGTTTAATTTTACACAATTATAATATTTGTTCATTTTAGTTTGCTACTCATACGAAGCGGCGGATGAGTGCGAAGCAAATAACGGAACGTATTATCTACGCCAATGTTTTAATCACACTCAAGCTCTGTTGCATAACGTATCCGCCCTTGCCAACGTGACGCTGAGGCGGCCACCCGCTGAAGAGTACTTCTCGTGAGAGCTTTTTTGTTACCACTTAAATACGACGTCCTTTTAAATGCATTTTCACTCCCACAGTTTAACAATTATGGAGCAGCTATGTAATTTTATAAAAGTCAAATCCCATTTCCCATCATAGGGCATGGGGCAACCACATTCCTGTCCTGTTTCAATGACCGGCTTTATTTTATTTATCTAAAGGTGATTAGTGACTTCTGTGCCCTGTCTGACTGAAACGACCATATACGACATATATTGTTTTATATGTTTCCCCGGAATTCAAACCCAGAACCTCTCGTGCTTAACGAAAAGCCTCCTTAAACCATTTAGCTACTGAGGTGATCCGGTTCTTTTGTTTCTAATTTTTTTTTTAACTAATTTTTCGTAAATTTCTTAATATCTCTTCTAACATTTAAAAATGAGACATAGCTTTGTTATTACTCGTACTTTGTTCTTAAGAAGGGTCGAATTCGATTATCACAATACATACATAGAGAAGGAATATAGAAGTGTGTGTTGGTAAAGATGTTTGTTATTTCAGGAACCACGTCTTGGGTCTTTCGTCAGGCATCCAAGAGATAGGCCAGATACGTTGGGGTTTGGCCGCGTGTCTGTTCGCAGCCTGGGTCATTGTTTTCCTTTGCTTGTGTAAAGGGGTGCAGTCTTCGGGAAAGGTGCTTTATTTATTCTCGATGTTTCCTTTTATGATAAAGGAGGCACAAACCCGGGGTTCACTTACTATAATATCTAAACATGATGCGCGCCGTCCTATTTTGGCTTCGTGCTTTAGAAATCCAAAGATTATAACCGTTTATTAGTTAAACAATACATCCTTTTAAAGCGATCATATTCACCTGTTATCGAATAACATATTGACACAACCGAGACTCGAACATAGCTACCGTGTCACGGTACTTAATTATATACAATAATGTAAAATATAAATGTATGAGCTCATTGTCGATTAAAATGTACACTTTTCTTAACGATAGAGGTAATGATATACCCCACCTATAGCATCTAAGCAAATGCACTGCCTACCTACTTTGACTCTTTACAAAAAAAAAAAAATAGAATCTTATAAGCAAAATGTGTTGTATTCATATTTCAGGTGGTATACTTCACAGCTCTGTTTCCTTACGTGGTCCTTGTGATTTTGTTTTTCCGAGGCGTAACGCTGCCTGGAGCATCTACCGGTATTATATTCTATCTGACACCAGACTTTAGCCAACTAGCTAATGCCCAGGTAAGACTAGTAACTGATTTAGCTTTTAACAGCCTACAACTGTAAACAATTACTATACGATAAAGAAATTTAACAATAAAATGCATAAGAGTGGCTTTCTTGACGCAAGGTGTATTAAATAAAATATATATTTTTTATTTTGATTTGTTTTTAATGAAGTCCACGTTCCGTTTAAATAAAGAATCGCGCATTTTGTAATCAACTTCAAAAGGGCGGTTCTCAAAACTTTCTGATGCATTAACGTATTGTTTTAGGTGTGGGGTGATGCAGCAGTTCAAATATTCTTTGCTTTGAGTCCTGCTTGGGGTGGTTTAATTACGCTATCGTCATATAACAAATTTTCAAATAATTGCTATTTGTAAGTACCATCAGCTTATTATGCTTGTAATGTAGCAAATGGCGCCTCACTGTTACCATAGCAACCGCATCGTTCGATGCGCCTGCGGTGAAGAACATAGTTTAATGTATATGAGTTAGAATCTAGTCCTCGGACAGGTCGGTCGTTTGTTGTATTTTACTGCAATATTAAGGATAATAATTGTAATTTACCGTAATGATTGACTGGTATTGGGTTTAATTTAACTCTCAACTACTACAGTAACTTTCGCACTTCTAAAAACTACCATTGTGGCTTAAGTAAACTAATAAATATATTCGAACTTCGAGGTAGAGATATTTATGTAAAAATACTATAACTGAAACAGACGCAAACATATGTCTGCCCTAAGCTTTACTTATAAGGTACGATAATATTTCTAATGAATCCAATATTTTTCAGAGATTCCCTGATAGTGGCTGTTTCAAATATAGCGACGTCATTCTTCGCCGGTCTCGTTATATTCTCAGTTATCGGTTTTCTGGCTCACGAGCTTCAAGTGAGCGTGGATCGGGTGGTGGACCAGGGTGCGGGCTTGGCTTTCATAGTGTACCCTGAAGTTGTAACAAGGTTACCCCTGTCTCCGTTGTGGTCTATATTGTTTTTCTTCATGCTGTTGACGCTCGGACTTGATTCTCAGGTTAGTATGGTATGAAACGGCAGACAATGTAGGTCGACTACGTATCGTGTTGAGATGGATAGGGCAATTCATTTTATCATCTGTAAATTTCGTTTCTAGTTTGCTTTAATGGAGACTGTGACAACAGCAATATTGGATCGGTTCCCTAACTTCAGAGAGAAGAAAGTGTGGGTTGTATTAACTGTGGCCGTTTTTGGATATCTCGGCGGGCTTGTCTTCACGACTAATGTAAGCATATTTTATCATGAGGCTTCAACACACACGCGCACACACATCTACCTTATTAAACCTAGGTCGATACTCCGAACATTTCGTCTAATTTTAGGATATCGGTTTAGTAGAAAGTGGTCTCTCGTTCTTTTCTTTAACGAAGAGTTTGTGCTATCAAGACAAGAATATATTAAGTGACGTAAGACGTGAAAAAAAAGGACCAGACAGCCTGTGGCAGACAATATTTAAGAATAAATTTAAAATAGTTAAGAAATTAAAGTAGATAAAATGAGGCGCAACAACCTCATTGTATTATCGTATATACATTTTGTCAAGAGTTTGAACCCCAGAGCTCAAAGTTAAAAGTCAGTTACACCACAGGTCTATGTCTTATCAAATACAACATAATTATCCGCCTCTGTAACGAATTGGTTAAATGTGTTGCCTAACGACAGCACGACAGGTCCTGGATTTGAATCCCTGAGAAACAATAGATCGTTCTAGTCGGGTAGGGCACATAATTCTGATCAACTTGCCTGTAAATAAAATCTGTGTAACGGACATAGAAATGTGTTCGCCCACATGCTTCACCGGGGAATCGGAACTTTTGAAATTCATAATTTTCAGAGTGGAATGTATTGGTTGCAATTAATGGACAAATATGCAGCGAATTGGTCCGTTTTGATCATTGCTATCGGCGAATGTATATTAATTGCGTGGATCTACGGCGCGGAGAAATTCTGTCATGACATAGAACGGATGATTGGACGTCAGTCCAAAACGTGGCTTTACTTCTGGAGTACAATGTGGAGGGGAGTCACTCCTGCTGCATTAATCGTAAGTATTGAAAACATCTCTATAGTATCTCTATCATATCTGACTTATTGTATGTATTATATTTTACAAATTTATTTATTAATAAATGCAGAGAATAGAACAGTTTTAACACTATGAAGCACGGTGGTTTATGGTACTGTTAGCAACTGACGTCGTTATAAACCCGACCAATAAGGAGCATTTTGTGTCACGTGGCAAATGTTTAAAATTTGTTTTTGCGGTTTTTTAATTGATACATGCGTTATTGTTTTACGATTATTTGTCTAAACGTATAGTTAATATTGAAAACAGTAATTGATGCTTTTTTAAATAAAACACTTTAATTGGTTAAAACGCGATATATTAGTTAAACTTATTTGAAAATGATTTTTAATTTCGGCCCGACGTTTCGGATGCTTTGCAGCAGCCGTGGTCACGGGGAACATCCGAATGCCGAAAAAAGTTTTTCAAATAAGTTTAACTAATATATCGCGTTTTAAACCGTTAAAGTGTTTTATTTAAATGTGTACTACTTGCGTAAACTATAGACTATTTAATTATTTAAGTAATTGATACAATTTTTTTGGTATTTTATATTTGAATCAAACATTAAAAAAGCAAGGCTCGAACCTCTATCAGTTCTTACCGTGCCCTTGGCCTATCGTATAGTAAAATAAATCTTGATTCTTATCATTGCATTTAAATTTGTTAAATATATATATTGAGTTAATTAATTAAACGATCGGTTCCAGTTTATTCTAGCATTCAACTGGATTGAATACAAGCCGGCGACGTACGGACACTACGTGTACCCAATGTGGGCCGATGCCGTTGGATGGATTGTGGGCATGCTGCCCATCTTGGTCGTGGTTTTAATGGCCATTGATAAAATATGCACGGGACCGGATGATCTTACGATCATGCAGGTATTTTTTTTGAGATTGACACACATTTTTTCTTAATTTAATTAAAATTTAGATTTTTTTATCAATTTAAGGTTTTTATGAACTTTCGTGTGCACTAACATGTGAAGAATAATATTTCAATGTCCGACATATTTCCGTCTGTCCGAGTAAAAATGTCATAAAAATTTAATATAGTATACGTAAACAATTTTTTTAAAATTACCAAACCACTACTTCTTTCTATTGGCTTTGATGGTTTCTTTACATATAAGATAATTCTTTAATGATTCTGTCACCGTTAAAACTATCCGACTTTGGAAGTCTCTCTCTACTAATATCAGAAAAGCTCAATCTCTCCGTTCTTTTAAGACTATGCTTTATAAATATTATCTTTCCAACTCTTAATTTTGCTTCTCTCTTACTTGCTACTTTTACGAAGTACCTTTGCTTTTTGTTTATTATTTCTTACCCCTACCCACTTAATAAGCCTTTTTTTTATATTATTTTTTATTCCTCTTGTACTTCAGTTTGCCTGGAGGGCGCTCTTAGCGATAAGGCCGCCTTTTATTTATAAGTACGTAAGATATTATCTTTTGTAGTTGATGTGGTAATTATAAGTAATAAAGCTGAAATAAATAAATAAATAAGATATATACTGTTTCAAGTTTAATAAGAAAGACTGTAGTCTTTCCTTTAAAACTTGTGAATGGTGAAGGACTGCATGTCCACGTTTCAGTAGAAAAGTTTTTCTTTTCGATCCTAACTATATATTTATCTTTTCTATTTCAGAAAGCGCGTTTCCTGTCTCAACCAACAGAAGAGTGGGGGCCAGCTCAGCGCAGCTCAATGCCGCTACCCGGTGAATCGGAGTTGTCTCCCCCGGTGCTGTTGCTGCACGGACGCCACGTCTTGCGCGAGCGCGGCGCTTGACCTCCGCAGAACTATCCACTCGCTGTCATAAGAAAGGTAAAAAGTAAAATAATGTGATCGTCTATAGTTTACGCGAGTACTATACATATTTACTGTTGCCGAAAGTCGAAACATATTAGTTAACTTGTTTTAATTTATTTATCTCATATGTTACGCGTTTGAAACCGTTAAAAGTGTTTTTATAAATAATAAAGTTCCCAACAATTTTTATAAATCAAAAATCGACTGAAGGAAACGGAAACGCGAATCTCTACTTGGCGACTACTTCGGATAGTTCATAGTATGGACTGAATTTAATTGTATTCCTAGTTCCTACCACCCATGTCACATTTATTACACATATTCTAAACTGAGACTATTCGAACCCGCGATCACTAGATCAGCAACCTAAAATGAAAGTCTAGAATAGTTTACTATTACTAGTATAGACACGCAAGGTCAGCATAAAACGTTTAGTCAATAATCAGTTAATTTGGTAAAGAGTAGCATTTTGTAATCGAATGTTATATTTGAGTGGTTGTTACAACTTTGTGGAAGTTAAACTTTTTTTTATTTTTAGGCCTCCAAAGACATTGGGGATTCTATGTCAGTAAACAGCAGTGTGGATAATGATATTAGAAAGTCTGACTTAAGTGCTAAAAAGAAAAACTCAATCAAGAAGAAAGTTGCAAGCTTTAGCAATGAATCAGATGACGCTGCACTAGTGCCACTGCTCCAAACACCTAAAGCCGAAACCAATGTTCCAAGTGCCAAAAATATATTATCAAAACTAAAGACTGAGTCGATAAGCGAAAAAGATTTGAAAAATAAAGATGTCGAAAAAGCTGTTACATCTACTTCATCGAAACAAAATGCTCCAGTAAATACTATGGAATGGAAAAAATCTGACGCAACCGTAGTTTGCAATACAACCGTCATTCAAAATCATATGAATACTAATGTTTTTGGAAATATGATATCAGCTTCTGAGTCGAGCACTCCGAAAACATCAATTCTCATTGAGATTAGTGAAAAGAAATCCACTTATGGCGCAACTCCTCTAATTTTCACCACAGCAAAGATACACACAGATAATAAAACAAAAACTATGGAACCCTTACAAGTGAACCCGCTACCTATATCTTCTACAATTGAAGGCAACTTAGTAAAATCTGAACTGTCATTCAATAATAGCAATACATCTGTGTTACCACCAAAATTAGAAAAACCAATAACTACTACCTGTACGACGATGATGACAAATAAAGATACAAATCAAACAAGTAAAGCTCCCGAACCCACAAAAAGTGCTAGTAATCAAGTCTCAATTAAATCGTCTTTAAATAAGACTCCAGATATATTTAAATCAACGACTGCCAATTTAACTAAAACGATTTCAAAAGTATCATCAAGTTCTATGGTTCAGCAGAACCTATCGAGTAATGCGAAAGCCAAAACACCTGACGATCATAAAGCAGTCCCCAAGAGTGATACTGTAAAGATAAAAGATACAGCCAATACACAAAGCATAAAAACCACTATCGAAAGTACAAATTCGAAACTCGACACTAGTACAGGTAGTGCTAAAAAATTGCAACGTCAAAAACGCGCCTCCATCGAAGATATTAATAACACAGGCAATATACAACTACAGAATGAAGGCGGTAATACAACCACGAAAGAGGTTGATAGTAAGTTGAAAAAACCTATTATTACTTCTAGCGTAGAAGTAAAATCCAATGGTGTAACGCAATCGGAAGCTAAAAAAAGCGCATTGCCTACTGTACAGACAAAATCTGTAAAAACTATACCACTAAATACGGACTTAGAAGCAATATCCACAGCTACGCCCAAACAAACAACAACGACGAAAACTATCACGACTGGAATTAAAGAGAGGGAAGCAACAAAACCACAATTAGGTACACCCAGTAACCCAACTAATAAATTGGCAATAAAGAAACCTATCGCATCACCGAACAATTCAAAAGTTACTAAAGAATCTCAGAATAAACCAACGCCTACAGCCACTGTTGCTAAAACTGATAGTAAACTGAAAACAACCTCCATTCCAAGCCAAGTGAAATCTCCGAGTGGAGAAACTTCAGTGAAGAGTAAAAAGCCAGGCACCTCTACAGGGATTGACCCTCCTTTAGCTCAAATAAAACCACTTCCAGTGTCTACACCTGTCACTTCCACTTCTTTTAGCACTCCTTTATACATTGTTGCAACATCGAAAACTAAGATCGGTGTTACTCCTACATCTAACACTACAACAAATTCGAAATCTGTTTGTACGAGTTCTAGTAATCGAGTTACACCATCAGTTAGTGTCAGTACGGCAAGCAAAAGCGCCAATTCAAAAACAGTTGATGCAAAAATTAAACCATCGCCATCAAAAACTTAAATATGATGTATAAAATTGATTGCAAAAATAATAAATGGTTAGTGTTAGATTCTCAACTATAAAAATGTCCTTCCAAATCTTTGAGGTTTTAAAAGTTCATATAGATGTCCACCTAAGTTTGCTCACTTAGATAATCATAAAAGGAATTGAGTGTATATTTTTATGTAAAGTAAATGTAAGGTAATTATTTTCTAAGTTGCCGGTGTGACTGTGCTCTGAATACTTCAGGAGAATCGCATGGCCATCTTGAAGATAGCGGTGCTAAATATAATATTTTCATAGACAATATTCGTATTGCGATTTTCAAATTTTTACGAAGAGATGATTTTATTTCGTCTCAAACGCAGTCAATTTTTAAAATTATCTTAACGTTTACCAGGATGAATTTTAACAAACATATTATACTTTATCGGGCGATATTTTATATCAAGTAAATATTGCTTACAATTTCGAGAGATTTAATTGTAAAGAACGCAGGGTAGATACAGATAATAGGTACGCGACAGGAGTTTATATATTTTTGTTAAATCTACTACACAATCGTTTAATTCTATAAAAATGTTTTTATAACTTCGTCTATTATTTATGTGAACAAAATATTTACACCATATTTATTTATATTCATAAACGAAAACTTTTAATTTTATTAAAATAATTAAATCAAATGTTACTCTTAAAATAAAAATTGTTCACTAATAATTACTAGGATAAATTGCTCACTCAGATAACAATTTTTATAAAGTGATATTTTTTTACGAAAATAATTAAGTTTTAAAAATATATTTACACTTTAATTAATAATTCTATGCTTGAATGGTTACTATTATTATTGTATTGTATTTTATAATTTCAGAGTTCCTTTATCTATTAAATAATAATTAATTACTGTTTTACTATAAACAAGATTTAACTATTAAAGCAATAATTTTGATAATTCTTATATTGTTGGCATTCGTTTTATATATGTTTACGTCCGTGTAAAATCGTACAAAATTACTTAAATAATAAATCGTGTGTTTTATGTCGATTTTTTAGTATTTGTAATCGACATCGCGCAACAATTAAATCACGATCAGTTTACGGTAATGTTTTGAGGATTTTCTGAATATTAAAGTATTTTTTATTATACTCACTCACGACAATATTTCTGACGACATATATTTCGCACTAAATATTTTTATTTATAAGCTCAAAGATGTTTTAAACAAAATGACTATCGAAAATTGTAATATTCAATTCGGTATTAAAATCTATATGTATACAATACAGAGACATTAATATTTAAGCGGTGTTAGTCTTGTTGCTATTTAGTTTAGATTCTGAAAAGTCTAGAAATCAATCAAATTAGATTATTTCAAGAAGTAGCATATAGCCCAACTATTCTTAAGTAGGGATCATAGATGTAGAAGAACCGTTTAAAACAGAGTATTTATGACTTCGACTGTCTACCTAAATTTCATAGTTGAGCTTAAATCTCTTAAAATGTAAAGAGTATGAAAGCTCTTTTAAACTTAAGATGTAAACTTTTTGATCGTTCTTAAATGTGTGTTAACTGAATGAAAAGTAAATATTTTTATTAAAAAAAAACAACGTACGAGTCACGTATCAAATAAGGTTCCATAGTTATGCATTGTTATAACAGTATTACTACAGTAATACTTTTATTAAATTTTTGTTCAAGCAAGTTGTCATTCAAATAAGAGAGGGTAGTTGTTAAAGTCCAAGTCCACAGAAGTCAGCCATTGAAATTTGTCCACACTATCGGTAATGTTTCAAGGTATATTGTTGTATGAATCATTGAGTAACTATGGAGCCTAAAATATCACAGCTTCACAAACAATGACTGAAACTTGAAGCTGTCTAGTGAGTAAGAAAAATAAAAATCGAGAACAGCATTTTACGATTAGGTACTTACATGTATGTTGTACCATATCTATTGTCTATTGTAAAGTTAGCGATTAGAAAGGTGTCGTTTAGATGTTATTACAAATTTTTAGACTGTAGCCGGTAAGTGATATTATAATCCAATTATTTCTTAATTGTTTTAGAGGAATTTATTTTGATAAGTGTTATATTTTATCCCGTTAAGTTTTATACCAAATTTTACAAGACGTATATCATTTATTATTGAAAATTTAAATTTTATAGCCAAGTTGAACCTTTGAAAAATATTTTCAACAGTCAATTATTTGATTTCGTTATCATTTCATTGGTGTTAATACAACATAAGTAATATACTTGGTTACCCACAGAAATATTACATCAGTTACCTACAGTTGCCAAACAGCGTGTACAATGTGACATGGTAAAATAAAACATATTACAAGTTAAACTTGAGTGAAACAACTAAACATCCTTTATCTGTACTTCGAGTTTTTAGTACTGGAGTTTACAGAAGAAATCAATCGTTTAAAAATATACGTACGTCTCCCACAAATTTATACGCCTAATGTTAGATATCGTTGTTAACTTGATGTATTTTAGAGAAATATTGAAATAATCGATGTTATATAGATGTTTACTGTACATATAGAATTAATTTTGATGAAGCCGAAGCAAAAGCAAAGTTCTGAATGTTATAGAAGGCTGTATTTTTGGGTGATATTTTAGAATGGTGGTCATCATATCTTTGATAACATTATATGACAAACGGGCGGACAAGGCAGAGAATTATTTAGAAATGATGTGATAAATATGCATTTAGTTCTAGAGTTGTTGTGCTATTAATAAAATATGTTTAAATTAACCGTTCTTTTCATATAACAAACCGATTTAACCTCAATAAAGTGTCAATGCATCTACTTCGCTGGATGCTATTTGCGCGATAAAATTGTCCGAATCAAGGACGCGTTATTGACATAAATCCGAAACAGTTAACTACATGCTCGACATGATATATTAGTTTCGAATAAGGCTTTTCGAGTGATGACGTCGTACTTTCTTTCGCCGCCTCTATTTTACCATTCGTTGTGTAGTCGGTGTGCGGTGCGCACGCCTCGGTGCTCGTTCATCCGACATCGGCCGGTCATTCTCACTACAAACCAACCGTGACTGTTCTCTAATCCGTAACAACAACACGCGAAACATTCTTACATTTTTCGTACAGTGAAAGAGTGAAAGAAATACGACAAATCAGTGGTATTTGATCATAATGTTCGGTTGTGCTAGTTCGTACTATTGATGCATTCTTCTCTGTGAACATCGAAGCGGTTAAGTAAGTTTACGATATTTTCCTAATTAAAATCCATGTGTTTTTAATTGCCACTGGCGGTGGAAGATCAGTGGAAGTAGAACTGTTTTCACTTATTACAAATAAAGGTGTGAACAGAGCATTGTTTCGGTGTTAGGTAATAAGTAACGGACAGTTATGTTTCAGTTGCGTTAAATTTCGCTAAAGGATCGAGATAAAGTGCAATCTATGTGATATAACATACTGATAATTTCCGTACTCTTATAGTGTGGAATAGCCAATATTTTACTAAGTGTATAGTTATAGAAATTAACAAACACGTTAAAACTAAACTACCCACCACGATCAAAATAATACAGACATTACTTAGGCCCTTGTATTCTATTAAAACAAATGTCTTTTCAGAAATAAAAAAGTATGTAGTAGTAATACTTAGTAAGTGGTAAAATTATTTCGAATCTGTTTAATTAGACATTATAGGACTAGTACTAGAATTAGAGGTATCACACTTTTTATAACTTGAACTCTTTAGGGTAAATACTAAACAAGACAATATACTTTTCTATTCTCTGTAATAAAACAAAACTATCTGAATTATACTATTCACGGAACACGTAATTACGTACAACTTTGTGACACAAATAAGCATAGGCACAGTTATATTGTATAAAATAAAAAAATTAAGATTTTCATAGTTTATATTTTTATATAAAACTAGCTGTGCCAGCGACTTCGTCCGCGAGAATTGTTATTTTGGGCATCCAAATTCGTTTTTGCTAACCCCTTCATCTTTATAAACTTAACCCACGACGTCGGTCGCGTCCGTTCCCGTCGTTCTTGCAAGTCAATCTTAAAAGATAGAGATATAGCATTGCGGACTTATTTTAGATCGATTAAAGAGGAATAATTCTTTTATATACATTTTTTAGTTATCTTGAGTTTTCGCAGTGTACGCAACCGTTTCGCACAAAGATGAAAATTTTCCCCCGTTTTGTTCACTTTTCACGCTGTATCTTCGCTATCATTAGTCACAGCGTGATTTTTTATAGCCTATCGATCTTCCTCGATAAATGTTCTAACTCAAAAATTTTTTTTAAATTCGAACCCGTAGTTCGTGAGATTAGCACGTTCAAACAAACAAAATCTTCAGCTTTATACATTAGTATAGATATATTACAATATTTAGTAGGCCATTACAAATTCGTTCTCCTTTAATCTGATTTTTACTATCACAAACATTAATTCATCGTTATCTTTAAAGCCTTCGTCATTGATAATACTAGATGAAGCTAAAATTGTAATCTAAGCGACGTTTCCTTGCTGCTGTGTATAATAGGAATCAAGTGTGGTACAAAATGTCTGTTGATTTGTGTTTCTTAGTTATTGGTTTATTGTTATAAATAATGTATCTGCATATATTATGTCTTGTTAATGAACATTAAACACTTGCGGTCACGTAACTTCGGCTGATGTCTTCAAGATGATAATATAAATAACTTAACTAATATTGGGTCTTTATTCCCGGCTAACCTAACATTTCCTACTTATTAAGAAAACATAGCAATAGAATGATTTAGTACTATCTGTGATTCGAACATAAGTCGTAAAGCTCTATTTATATCTCGGTGTTGCCTTTGTATTGATCACAAATCGTTGCATATATATTTGTATACTATAGAAACATGATTTTCGTTCCAAATTTTTACATCTTTACGTCTATAAGTAGCCAGTCATGCCCAGAATACAATAATTTCATTAAACACTGTACATGGGCGTGTGAACAGAAACTACTAAATGTCGCTCGGCAGCT